GGTGGTCAGTGTGCATCATAGCGACCTGTTGTCCTACCATTTGGTCTATTTGCATATTAGCCTTTTATTATGTAGGATTATTGACCATATTCTATTGTATTTACGGAATACATGATGACTAGGTTGATGATCTAATTAAGGCTTTGTGACTGGGATGCTATTCCTTATTTGTCTTTCGTAAGTCTGCTTTTCTCCAAGTGATCTCTGGTATTTTACATGCTTTTTTGCAGTTTCAAAATGCAGGTGAAGAAGTTTCTTTGGGACACAGAGTTGCTTTAGGCCCAATCCAGAGTTTATTGTGCCTTGTTTTAATCACCTGTAGGTTTGAGGCATAAAACTTGTAAGGCAGCTCCTCTGGGATGAAGCTCTGGCTCCCTTTTAAAGTGGCTCCATTTTATCTTTTACGGGTCTCAAGGCAGGAAGAACATTTTGGAGGGTCATACCCTCATTCACATAATGATCTTCTTAGTCACAATCTCCTATGATAGGCCTCAGAATCTGTAGAAATAGTAAATGTCCCACCCAGGTTATATGATCAGGGAAGTCGGGAAACTATTGTACAAAACAGGATATTGGACATAAGAGATGAGGTTTCTAGGACCAGTTTTGCTACTGAGTCTGAGCTTGTACAAATCTCTTAGTTTTTACATCTTGAAAATTGAGGGTTTGGACTCAATAATGTAATTACAGACTTAAAAAAGACAAATAAGGAATAGCATTCCAGACTCTGTAATTCATGACTTCTGTAATTCAGTGCTTCTACTCAAAATATCCAACTTTAATTGAGCTACTTTTCATTTATAATGCCTATATATTTTTTCTTTTCTTTTGGGTCTCATTGACCTTTTGTAGCAGAAGGATTTCCTACTCCTATTCAAGCATTTCTACTTATCTGTACCTTAGTATGAATATATTTCCCACATTCTCCAAATTGCATTTGGATTACATTAAATCAGAAATAGTCTTTTTTGCCTTATTCCTGTTTTCTACCATACATATCTTATTCAAAAAGGTAACAATACCAGTTCTCAATTTATAGTAAGCAAGAAAATCTTCACATAAATATTCTAAAGCCATAGGTAATTAACAGTGATTAAATTATATGATAACGGAAGCTGCCAGTGTTGCCCATCATTACATGATACCCCCTCCAAGGAGCAGAGAGGTGTTTGTTGGATGCTGCCTTCCATCACATGTGCCTGAAACAGGCTTCAGACATGTAACTTGGGAGATGCTGCTTACCCTTTTCTTCCTCTCAAAAGGTTATACTCAGAGACAAGCAATAATTAGCACTCCCTACACTGTGTACGTGACGGATGCAGACTCTCTGACTTGTTTTTCTTCTCCCCTACAAAGGGGCCAGCATTAAGTTGACCTACTGCTTGCAGGAACCCACTCACTTGTCATTAATTATTGTCCATAAGAGAGAAAGAGGCAGATAGAGCCCACTGGAAATTCATGGGCTTTAGAATTAGACAGATTTGGGATTATTACATACTGGCTTCTTCACTTACAGAAGTTAGGAAAGTCATTTAACCTTTCATTTCTTCATCTATGAAATAAGTACTATGTCATCTGCCTTGCTGCAATATTGTGAGGATTTTTTGTATTGTCAAAGGGATCTAGCAGTATCTGGTCCTGGTGGACTAGTCCAGTGGTCGGCAAACTCATTAGTCAACAGAGCCAAATATCAGCAGTACAACGATTGAAATTTCTTTTGAGAGCCAGATTTTTTAAACTTCTTCTGATGCTACTTCTTCAAAATAGACTCGCCCAGGCCATGGTATTTTGTGGAAGAGCCACACTCAAGGGGCCAAAGAGCTGCATGTGGCTCATGAGCTGCAGTTTGTCAACCTCGGGACTAGTCTGTAAGTTCCTCTTTGTCTGAAGCTCCTTGTATAAAACCTAGAACATACTGGGTTCTCAATGAATATTGAGCATGACACATAGTAACTAAAGACTTTGCAAATGGTAATTGTTATGACTACACAAAGTAAAACAGTTTTACTTTTTAAAAATAAAATATACATGTTACATTTTTAAAATTTTCAATTGTTATTTCTCTGCAAATAGATAAGAATTGTTAAACATGAGGTAATTATTCTACAACAGGGCAGAGTTGATATAAATGCAAGAGATATGAAATGGTATGTTTTAAAAGCTTATTGGTTCCAACAACTTACGTTATTCAGATGTTATCATTGTCAGTCAGATGTTCCATCCATCCATGTGTCCATGTTACAGTACAATGTAGTAACTAGGAAAGGATTTGCCCTCCCTGTTCATTATATTATTTGGTTCATTCTTTGATTTTATTTAAGGATTATACGTGTGCTTATTAAGTAGTATTCTGTTATATTTATAGAATACATAATGACAAGGTAGATTATCTAACTAATTAAGGCTTTGTGACTCTGGAATGCTATTCCTTATTTGTCTTTTTTAAGTCTGCTTTTTCTCCAAATGATCTTTGGTATTTTACATGTTTTTATGCAGTTCTAAAATGCATTGCAGGTAGTGCTTCGAGGATTTTCTCCTGCAATTTAAAATTATCTCTCTCAATTACAGAGACCTGCTAAAATAGGGGCCCTGCATCTCTATAAGGAAATAGTTTCTTAGCAGGCATATGATGTATTTTGGTTTACCATTACTTATGATAATTTAAAATTGGGGAAGTAAAAATGTGCTTGTTTGTAGAATTCTGTATTTAAAGATGTAGTCATAACTTGGTTTATGAGACTTCCTTCTGTGTTCATGTTTTTGGTTTTTGTTTTTAAGTTGGTGGCAATTCACCCAGTCTCACAAACCATAATTCTGAGAGTCATCTCTGTGATTCCTTTTACTCCATAATCTAATCAGTCCCTGAGTTCTACCTTTTATTAAACCATTCATTGTTCTCCAATTCATCCCATCTTCTCTGTTTCTGCTGCCACTATTCCAGATCAGGTACCAGATACTGTTCTCCCTCTTTCCTAACTGACTCCCTGCTTCAGGTGTGCCCTTTTCTTCACAATCAATTGTCTTACGTGATATCCGACTCTACCCCTCTTCTTTTTTTTCCTTCTTTTTTTAAATAATATATTTTATTGATTTTTTACAGAGAGGAAGGGAAAGAGATAGAGAGCTAGGAACGTCGATGAGAGAGAGACATCGACCAGCTGCCTCTTGGACACCCCCCACCGGGGATGTGCTCGCAACCAATGTACATGCCCTTGACCGGAATTGAACCTGGGACCTTTCAGTCTGCAGACCGATGCTCTACCACTGAGCCAAACTGGTTTCGGGCTCTACCCCTCTTCTTAAAACCTTTTAAAATGCCTTGTCAACCACAGGTTCCAATTCAAGGTTCTTAACATTACAATTATAAGTATCTCTTACTCTTTAGATCTCAACACATTACCTCCTGAAGGGGTTTCTGACCACCCCACCACGGTTTATGTTACCTTTGAGGAAGAAGTGAAGAAAATCAACTTGTGCTTGGGTGAAATTTCCTCCTACTTGAGAATAGTATAGTGACAGGTGAAGTCAAGTGTGGTAGCAGGTTTAAAGTTCCATTGCAGTAAAGGTTACTAACATCTAAAGAAAGAATGTGAACACTGAGAGGAGGATGATATACAGTGGTAACATATAGAAAAGCTGGGAGTCACGAGCAAAATTGGCAGTGCCAAAACCTTATTGCCCATTCCTTTTACCCAGTTCTTGCTCATTCCTGTTGTGTAGGTAAATGTATCAGAGTGTCTGTGCCTGGTGCCATTAAGTATTCTAATCACAATTAAGTCCTTTTGCGCAGTTTAGTGGATGATGGTTTGCTTTATAGGAGGAAATAAAGCTGTTAAATTTCTTGTTGTCGATTAATAAAGTTTGGATTTATAAGCCAGTGTTTTTGTTTGTGTGACTCACTTTTGGGGGTTACACTGATAGAGTCATATTTCTTCTTGAGCACACTGACTTCACTGAGATACAGGACCTTGTAAACACTTCTTGGCAGCTAACCAGCCAGCTCCTCTGGTGACGCCATCCACCATGATGTGCAGCTCTTTGCGCCTCTTTGTTCAGATGGCTGTGCAAACACTTTTTCTTAGGCTTCTAAAAATACTAATATTGAAGTGATTTGAGTAAATAGATGAGCTACTGCGTAGTCTCTTAATATAGTAGTGTTTTCCTACAAAGTTACAAAAAAAGTTTTAATTTACTCTGAGTAAATTCATAAATTTAGGGTTCAGATTTATATTGCACTCTTCCTTCCTGGGCACCCAGAAAGCCATTTATTAAAAACCCACTGTGTGTCAGGCAGTGTACTGGACTATGTTTAATACTTTAAAAAATACTCCAGAAAAGTATTTTTACAGATGAATCTGAGACTCAAAATAGGTTAAATAACTCTTCCATGATTACAGCTAGGAAAATAGCAGAGTTGGGATTTGAACCCAGGGCTATTAAATTTCTGAATTTCCTCTCTTTAAGTTCAGAGCACTTACCTAGCACATTTAATTATGTTTAAATAAAACATACTTCAAGACCATTTTTCTAAACCTGTGGAACTTGATTAAATAGCTATGCTATATTTATTTGGGGATTTTTCTCATTTGGGGATTTTTTTTTTTTTTAAGAGTGATGTAGCTTTCATTCTTTCTTAAATTTAATTTATACAGTTGATTTTTCTGAAATAATTTCTTGCCTCTTTACAACTTATCTCTTTCCCAAATTAATTTCTACAAAATTAGTTCATGCCGAGAGTTTAATCAGTGCTTGCTATTAAATATGTGATTGTGTGTGTTTTTAATGGTTCCATTTTAAAGGCAGACCCATTCTCCAACAAAATCTCCTCCCCTTTCCCAAATGTAAATTCTGCCTGTCCAGCAGCAGCAGATCTCTGCATGGTTTTCTGTTGGAAGTGTAAGCTGAAGGGGACAGACATTCCCACTGCTAGGTGGGGCGGGGCGCGCTGAGCTGCATCTGCCCTTGTTGAATTATTAATGCACCATGTTTTTATGTTGCAGATGGCTGAGAGCTAGCCAGGAAAACAGGAGCATGATGGCTCAATTTCCCATAGCCATGAATGGTAAGCAAAGCAGCTTTGTGCTTGTGGGAAGATAAAGAAGTTATGAGATTGGGGGGGTAGAGGTTATAAAATATTCTTTTGTGATATTTTTTAGTGTAAAAATGAAAAACTTAAAGTATTTTTTAAACTAAGAGTATTCTTATCGAAAATATTTGGGCAGTCTATTTCAAAACACTGCATATAGCTTCTATTAGAATATTACGAATCCCACAACTCCTTGTAAGCATGTTCTGCTGTATCATCTGGAATGTGTGCTTAAGAATAACTTAAAGCCATATTATTATGTTTGATGTATAAAACTGGAGGACAAAAAGCAGAGCGCTATAAGCAGGAGAATATTAAAGGTGGTTTTTATAGCATGGGATGATTGTAAATTGATTAAGCCAATAATTATAGTGATAATGTGCTCTGACAAATTTGAGAATTTCTATGCCCCATACAAAGGAATTTGCATTAAAAACAGTTTAGTGCCGAAACCGGTTTAGCTCAGTGGTAGAGCATCGGTCTGCTGACTGAAAGGTCCCGGGTTCGATTCCGGTCAGGAGCATGTACATTGGTTGCGGGCACATCCCCTGTAGGGGGTGTGCAAGAGGCAGCTGGTCAATGTTTCTCTCTCATCGACATTTCTATCTCTCTCTCTCCCTTCCTCTCTGTAAAAAATCAATAAAATACATTTTTTTAAAAAAACAGTTTAGTTATAAACTTCAGCATGTTAAGTAGGTTTATAAATAAAATGAACATAATAGAAAGCAGTACAGCAGGTCCTCAAATAATGTCCTTTCAATTCACATTTCAATGTTGATGAGAAAAAGGAAATTGATTCCTATCCAGGACCGCTGTCTGTGTGGAGTTTGCATGATCTTCCGTGTTTAGGTGGGTTTTCTCTGGTGACTCCAGTTTCCTCCCACATCCCAAAGACATGCATGTGAAGTGAACTGGGCGTCTAAATGGTCCCAGTCTGAGTGAGTGTGGGTGTGTGTGAGTGGCCCTGCTGTGGAAGGATATCCTGTCTAGGGTGGGTCCCACCTTGTATCTTGAGCTGCCAAGAGTGGCTCCAGCCACCGGGGCCCTGAACTGGAATAATCCAGTTGGAAAAGAATTCTCTTTTTGGTTTTATTAATCGTTTATAAATATATAGGGCTCTACATTTATTTCAGTGTTTAGTATTAGAAGTGTTTTGGGTCTTAATTTAGAAGTTTGGTGACATTTTTGTGACCAAGAATATGCCATAGGAACTCTTGTTTATATCAGTTGGCCTAAGCACAGTGCAGACACAGGACTCACCGGGTTCTTGTCTCCGCCCCTGTAAAATGAGGATATTAATAATACACAATTTTAAGGTACTGGTGGGAGTCAATGAATTATTGTGTTTAAAGTATCTGAAGGGTAGTCAGGGCTCAAGAAAGGTGAGCTGCTTCCATCTTTGTCATCCTTTGTTGCTGTTGTCATGTTTTACCATCATCATTTTTCTAGAGTCATATAGTAGTAAATCAGTCTATAGCCACACTGCTTGCCTTCCTAGTCACAAGAATCGTGACATGTTAATTTATTTATTTTATAATAAACTGACCAACTAAGTAGGGTTTGTTTTTTTTTTACTGTGAATGTGGTATTTCTTTATTTAGAAAGTGTGTAGTGTAGCTATTTTAGGTTTTTAGTTCTTCAGTACATATGTTTCTTTATTTTTAAATCTAATCTTAAAACTTGTTAAGAGAGGATGGTTATAGATTTTTTTTAAATCCATTTATTTAGGGCTAATAGTGTGTGTGTAATAAAGACTATGTGACCTTGGCTTAGCAAAACAGTGCTTAAGGCACACAGTCATTTCATGGAAGAATTAGTGTTTCTTTGGCTCTAAATAATTTATTGGGGGTGACATTATAATATAATAAAATGATATAGGTTTCAGTTGTATAATTCTACAATACAGCATCTATATATTGTATTGTGTTCACCACCCCAAGTCAAGACTCCTTCAAAGTATGTATTAAATCAAATATATCATAGTGTTTTGAATTATAGTGGACACCTACTTTTCAATGTTAAGCATTCCTGGAAACAACTTTGTAAGGGAAATTTTTTTATATTGTAGGCAGCAAACATACACGAGTTTATATACCTAGACATATTTAGTTTCTTATTGGTAGAAGGTGAATTTGTAAAGGTAGTCAAAAGTGAAGAGTAAATGGTTATGAGCCACATTGAATGTATTGAGCACTAAAAACCTGCTCGGAGGGCTGGTATAACCGTATGTGAAGGATAGACCACAAAAAGATTGTGACTTTTATGTTCCCCCAAGTCCTGACCTTGCCTCTCTTGTTTTCTGCTCCCTCTTTTATTCATTCACATGTTTATTCCTCAATCACTTATAAGTGTTTGTTCTGTGCTGGGTACTCGGCTGGTTCTGGGAACAGAAAGGTAAACACACAAGGCTCCTGTTCTCCTAGGGCTCATCGTCTGGTAGGACAGATGGGGAAAAAGAATTACTGCACCTTTCTAAGTGCTCTGTGGAAGCACGGAGTAGCCTCTTGAGAATCCAAAGGAGGGAGCAATTAATTTGACCTGCAGCTATTAGCCACGCCCTAGAGGAAGTGGCATCTGCCCTGGACCTTGAAAGGGGAGTTTATATTTACTCTCAAGCTGTTTCCTGTGGCAGCACCCAGAAAGACGGGACTGTGAAGAGACCAGAATGAACCCCCACCTGAATATTTCAGGCAACTGTAGGGGGACAAAATACCATGCAATTTTCTACTCAGCAAAGTCTAAGCTGCTGTGGTCACTGGGGAAGGTGTTAGCGAAGATCCATCCCAAGGGCACAGCAGAGACACATTGCTGCTGGGATAAGAGTAGAAGAAAAAGCTGTCACTGAGGCGGGGAAGGAACCTTCTTGGGTCTAAGATTCTATACTGATACCAAGCAGAGTTAATGCTCCCACTGCTGTTGGGGAAGAAGCAGAAAAGTCCTTCCCAAGACCAAGGAGGAGGAGGCACAAGGAGTCTGGATGCCACACCCCAGGGGTCCGGGTACACAGGGCCTGCCTAAGACTGAGTGTGGATCAGGATCAAGTGGGAGTCAAAGCTGTCTGGGGGGTGGCGGGCCCAGCAGTCAGTTAAATGTCAGGGGCCTCTGGGAGTTGAGGAGAACCACACCAGAGCATTTACTTTGGGGAGGAAGGCGCCAGGGCCAGTCTGGAAGTTAAAGGTTATTAATGTCGCTTCTACCCTCACACCTCTCCGTGTCTCAGGTGTTTCCTCCTCAGGTGCCTGGTTCTGACTCTGCCTCCACAAAACCTAGGTGTTTCATTTGGCTCTAACTAACTTCACTGTGATCCAGAAGGCTTAGGTGAAAGAACTCCAAGGATTTTGCATACACCTAAGCAGAATTAACTTTGAATCCTTCCTATTTTATTTTATTTTATTTTATTATCTTTTTAAATAAGTAAATAAATCCTATTTTAGCTGAGCTGCCTGAAGCCGGAGGATGTGCCAGTGAGGCCCACCTGCAGTTGTTGTGAGAGAGATGCGTCATGTCCAGTAATGGTCAGGCTAGAATCCTGATGTTCCCTTGGGCCCGTCTGTCTGCGTTCTTGACTCTGTCATTTCTGTGGGACAAGCAAGGCTTTTAGGTTCTTCTCACTTCGTTAGTTGTGGAATTCAAGTTGAACCACTCCAAGGATGCTTCAACATGGAAAACACAGTTCAACATGGAAAACACTGGAAGTTGTTTTCTCGAGTAAGAGTCCCTTGAGGGCGGGAACAATACTTTCTCCCCTTTTATTTTCGGTTTTATTCTGTGGCCCATTCCCGGCGAGTGGTGTGCAGTCATCGCTCAGTAGACGTTAGCGGACTGATGAGCGAAAAGGGCTGTGCTCTGTGTTTGTGATAGAGCTTTACTCTTTGTGTCGCTGGGTATCAAGTACTGTCATTAATTGGGCATTTGTGACTCATTTACATTTTAGAATTGTGTATTTTAAGCATTCTCATCTATACAGTATGATTTCTTTGTCTTCCTTTTATGTTTTAGGAGGGCCAAACATGTGGGCTATTACCTCTGAAGAACGGACTAAGCATGACAAGCAGTTTGATAACCTCAAGCCCGCAGGAGGTTACATAACAGGTTTGTGTTTATATTTTCTGGTGACTTATGCTCCTTTTCATGTCATATCTTAGAAATAGTTTTGAGTGCTGTGAGTTTGTATTAAATGATAAAATTTATTCCAAGGTGAAATATTGCCATTTGCAACAACATGGGTGGATCTTGAGAGTTTCTTACATGAAACAAGTCAGATAGAAAAGGACAAGAACCTTGTGATATTGCTTACCAGTATATGTGAGATATAAAACAAAAGCCACAAACTTTATTACTAATGACACAGCAGTTAGCATGAGCGTCAGCATGTTTCTGTCAACCTCCCTGTACACTGAGTCAGACGGAGACCATGCAGAGATCCCAGAAGGATGCTACATGTGCAGAGATTGTGTTGTAGGAGGGGAACACTGAGGTTGAGGAACCCACCATGTTTCAGCAAGTGGTAAGCTAGTTTATTCTTTGTCCCAGAGGGAAACATTACCTCGTCCCTCAAGATAGCGCACTGAGACCCAGTTCTGAGAAATGACCCTGGTAGAGAGCAGTTAGGATTTCCCATGCTTAGCATACACAGCTGTATATAGAGGATTGTAAGAGATCTAAGGAGGGCTATTTAGAATTCTTCTAAGGAATAGTATTTTAAACTATACATTTTATTAAATAGAAATATATCTAATAAGACTTCAATTGTGAAAAAACTGAGATGAATAATGTAATCTTTTATCACTGATCACAAAACTAGTTGTGACTTTTTTTTAGAACATCTAAGTCTTATTAAAGTAATATAAGTAATTTTATATATGTATTTCCGTTTAATTTTTTAGTGATTGGAATTGAAATGTTAATAAACCAGTAACATTGTTGCCCATTATTATTATTCAGAGGCATTGAAATAATTCCTTCCACTGATATGCTGTTTGATTTTTGTTTTTATTGCCTTTAGGTGATCAAGCACGTACGTTTTTCTTGCAATCAGGCTTGCCGGCTCCTATTTTAGCTGAAATATGGTAAAATAGTTTTTTTGTAGAAGATTTTAAATTTCCGATTGTCTGGTTTTGTTTGTTTTTAATACAGTTTAACACCGTGGTCAGCAAACTGCGGCTCACGAGCCACATATGGCTCTTTGGCCTCTTGAATGTGGCTTTTCCACAAAATACCACAGCCTGGGCGTGTCTATTTTGAAGAAGTAGCATTAAAAGAAATTTAAGTTTAAAAAATTTGGCTCTCAAAAGAAATTTCCATTGTTGTACTGTTGATATTTGGCTCTGTTGACTAATGAGTTTGCCGACCACTGGTTTAACATAAAGTTGTTTTTACTTGTAATCTGTTATTAAGTAAAAGTATTTCTTCAGTGAGGACATGAGTGTGGGGTTGTGGGTTGGAGGGTTAATGGAGGGATGAGGACATATATGTAATACCTTAATCAATAAAGAAATTTTTTTTAAAAAGAGTATTTCTTCAGCTTGTTAGAAATACATTTGATTGAGTAAATGATTGAAAACCAATTGGGATTTTGTTCTATAGGACAAATTTCTAATTTACTTAGAATTTCTAAGGAAAGAAAATGTATACATTTCCATTGAAAAACATTTCTTTATAATTTGACAGAATCTCAGAATTTTCTTTCTATTATTTTGTTGTTTCATTTATTTCATCATCTACAAACCCCAAATAATTCCTCCTTTCTTCTGTTCCTACCTTAAAGAAATTATGCTTTATGATATCTATAATAACATTGTTTTTTAATGTACTTAAAGTAAATACCAATTTCTACTCCATTTTTCTCTCCACTTGGAATATTCCCAGCTTGGCTAAGTGTCAGGCATATAACAAGCATTCAATAAATATTTGAACAAATGAGTAAGTTTAGAAGGATTATCCTTTTTTTTTTTTTTTTTTTTTTTTAAAGAATTCTAACCCAAGGATATGTTTTTACTGATTTTTAGAGAAGAGAAGAGGGAAAGAGAAAGAGAGAAACATTGATTGATCACCTCCTGTATGCACAGGGGAATGAGCCCACAGCCTAGGTTTGTGCCCTGACAGGGAATCAACCCCTCAGCTTTAATGCCCTGAATGATGCTCCACCTAACTGGGCCAAGGAGTCAGGACAGAAGGCTTATACTCTAGAGTAATTTTTTTCCATCAAAGGTCTCTAGATTTTATATAGACTAACATTATTTCATTATATACTATTTCTGGTCAGTATTTCTTAATGTATAGATTTCCGCTTTTTGAAATACACATGCGCATACTTAGGTGATGATCAATGTGCGAATGCTACATCTTTGTTTTTATTTTATCATCCTCAAAAGTATGTTAACGCTATGTACAACCTACCCACCTCATTGTCCTTTCAGGGCTTTATCAGACCTGAACAAAGATGGGAAGATGGATCAGCAAGAGTTCTCCATAGCCATGAAGCTCATCAAACTAAAGCTACAAGGCCAGCAGCTGCCCGTGGTTCTCCCTCCTATTATGAAACAACCTCCTATGTTCTCTCCATTACTTTCTGCCCGTTTTGGTATGTGTTTATTAATTTAATTAGCTACATTTGATAGTTAAACTTGATTCCTAGGCATAATATTTGGTGATCAAAAAAGGATTTTTTGGCATAAAATGACAGTCTCCTGACACCAAATGAATTTTTACGTCTGAGATAAGAAATATTAAATTTGTTGTCATTCAGAAGATGATTTGACTTTGGGTGATGAGAACACAGTGCAATATAAAGCTCTTATAACATAGAAATCCATACCTGCAGCCTATATGACCCTATTAACCAATGTCCCCTCAATAAGTTTGATTTTTAAAATGATAATAATAAAATAAAATAAAAATTGCTGTCATAGCTAGGGTGTCCTTGTAGTCCAGTTTTCGCAGGACAGTCCTTATTTTTGTCTATTGTCCTGGCTTCCAGTCTGGTTAATGTGCCTTTTCATAATTCCCAGCTGCATCTAGGGGATAAATTAATATCCCCCTCGCTATACTGATCCTTAATACTAATCTTAATTAATTTCTTCTGTATTTTGTATGAGTAACAAAAAATGTGAACAATTTTAAACTCATTTGAAATAGTTTAATTTGGGATGGGGGTAATTTAAAATTATACATACATAGAAATTTCTTTAATTCAAAGGTTAGCCAGCTGATTTTAGGGCTAAAAGTTGAAGACATTGTGCTAATTAATTTACATATTCTTCAGAGATAACCAGTTTTCCATTCATTTTCATTAGCCAATTTATTATGTGTGAGAAGCACTCATTGAAATGGAATATTCAACTGGATAGCTCTGTGTACCTGAAACATGTGCCTCTCCACCAAATGTTAGATCTTAGAATGCTAGCTAGCTTCTTTCACTATTGTAGTGAACTCTAGAGATAAATACCAAAGCATTGTGCGACTATATTTATGTAATGTTCTTAGTAATCTTAGTTAGTAAATGAATAAGAGTTGTCACTTTGTTCCTTTGGGTGGGGGCAATTTGGCTGTGTGTGTGTCTTAATCAATAGCACTGTATTTATTATCCTCACACATTTGATCAGGTGATACATCCTCTCTTTAAGAATACTAATATTTAATTGGAAAAAGCTGCTTAATTTTGTTCATGATACTGGAAGAGAATTTTTAACTCCTTGGTAGGCATTCTCTTAGTTCACACAGGTCAGACTATTGATAGTTAAAAAGCAGTGGTTTACCTTCCTCGTGTAGGGTAAAGCTGCTTTTGTGTATTTTTAAGACTAATTTGCCCATAGTGTTGCTGTTACTATGGGGTCTGCTCATGGCACTATAAGCTTGTTTTCTGGCATGTGTTTTCTAATTGACTTACTAGCACTAGAAAATGTGTTCTGTTTTGCCTTTAGGGATGGGAAGCATGCCCAATCTGTCCATTCCTCAGCCATTGCCTCCAGTCGCTCCTCTAGCAACAGCTTTGTCCCCCGCAACTTCAGGGGCCACCCTCCCTCCCTTAATGATGCCTGCTCCCTTGGTGCCTTCCGTTAGCACTTCCTCCTTACCAAATGGAACTGCCAGTCTCATCCAGCCTTTATCCATTCCTTATTCTTCTGCAAGTAAGTACTTTATGTCTAATAAACCAGAATTTCATATGAAGAAAGACACTATTATGTTCATGTTCCAATAGAGGCAGATTTCTTTCATAATTTGTAATATTGTTTAGTGGGCACCTTTTTCATTTTTTTCTTTTCTTTCTTTCTTTCTTTTTTTTTTTTTTTAGCATTGCCTCATACGTCATCTTACAGTATGATGATGGGAGGATTTGGTGGTGCTAGTATGCAGAAAGCCCAGTCTCTGATTGACTTAGGATCTAGTAGGTATGAAGACTTAAGCTTCCAACTTTTTATGTTTTAATAAGGAGTATTTAACAAATGACTATTTTTTTAAATCTCTGAACTTATCCAGGTTTTACTTTATAATGGCCAAATGTAAACACTTAAGGTAAATTTACTTATTTATAACACACATAAAATAATTGTTTTATTTTTAGAATTACAAATGCCTGTGGTATTTTACCTTTGAAAAAATGTTTCATGTAAACAAAAAATATTTTGCTATGTTTTTAATCAGTCAAATTTTTTTTGCCAAGAGCTACATATTTTTCTTTTAAAAAATATGTTTTTTAAAGATCTTATAACCATTGTACATTCTTAATTTATTTCTTGAGCAAATTCTTCTGCTTGAGTATTCTTTAATTTCAGAAAACATTAATGTTCATTCCTCATCCTTTCTATAAATCACAATAATGCCCTTTTTTATAAATTAAAAAGTTTTTCAATTACAGCAGACATTCAGTATTTTATTAGCTTCAGGTGTATAGCATAGTAGCGAGACTTTTATAAAACTTATGACATGATCCTCCCCAAAAAAATCCAACAACCCCCTGACACCAGGCATAGTTATTACAGTATTATTGACTGTATCCCTATGCTGTACTTTACATTCTCATGACCATTTCCTAACTGCAATTTTACTTCTTAATCCCTTCACCTTTTTCACCCAGCCCCCCACCTGGCAACCATTGGTTTGTTCTCTGTATCTATGATTTTCTTTCTTTTTTATTTGTTCCTTTATTTTGTTTTTTAAATTCCACATATAAGTGAAATCATATGGTATTTGTCTTTGACTAATACCATCTAGGTCCATCCATGTTGTCACAAATTGTAAGATTTCACTCTTTTTTATGGCCTAGTTATATTCCATTGTATATATCGGCCATATTTTCTTTATCCAGTTGTCTCACAATAATGCTCTTTAAAGCAGTGACCCAGAAGAATCTTTGTATCCTAGCTTAAACACTCACTGAATAAATAACCTTTTTTTCTTAACGTCACTGAACCATATAAAAGCTGGGACAGTAATACCTTTTAAGTTTGTCAGGAGGATTAGAAGTAATATTTGTAAAGGCCCCAGCACATTATGGGGCCTGGTATATTGTAGGTTCTTGATATATGGTAGTTCTATACTTCATATGGTATTTGCTTTCCTAAGAATAAGGATAATTGTTTGAATTTTTTTCTATATCAAATACAAAAGCAATTACTGTTGTATTATAAAAGATATGATTCTTATAAAGTTGGACTAAATATATTTTATTTAGAAACATAACATTTTAAAATAAATTTTGTTATAGCTCAACTTCCTCAACTGCTTCACTCTCAGGGAACTCGCCCAAGATTGGGACCACAGAGTGGGCAGTTCCTCAGCCTTCAAGATTAAAATATCGGCAAAAATTTAATAGTCTTGACAAAAGTATGAGTGGATACCTCTCAGGTAAGTGGCATACAATGCTTAAGAATGTGAGTTAAAGTTTTTTTTAAATGGACTTCTATTGAAGAACTTTGAATTTGTACCTTATAGCTCATCTAAAATTTTAACATAAAAAATTTGGCAGGCATTGGATATATGCAAATAATGTAAGTTGTGTAAAAATTCAAAAATGCATATAACCTGGTTATTTTCTTCAAAGTTCTTACAATAAAGTTGAGCACATAAATGTACACGCAAAAGACTTCACCCTTGAGAAAATCAGACTTCATCCTCAGAATAGGAGTGCATGGAGAAGCTCACATGACAAGAGGGAGTGTGTGTGATTAGCCTCAGTTCCCTGCGAGTCCCTGTCCTCGTGAGTCTTTCTCTACTTGCCCTTTCTAAAGGCACATGAGCATTGCTTATTCTTTAATGCTCAAAGGTAACCATAAAACTTGGCCTTAGACCCCCATAGAATATTTGAGTTCATGGTAGAACAAACATCCAAACTTCACTAATTGAAAATAATGAAGGGGATATAAACAGAAGGTAATAGGCAAATAGACTTCCCACCTTCTGACTTTCCCCTCTCTTCACTCAGCAATGAAATACAATGCAGGCCAAACAAAATTAGTGTTTAAAAGTAATAGAGCTTTAAAGTGCTAGGGAACATAGAATGGGATATATTAAAACTGATGCGATCAGATAAAACAGCTATAGGAAGGTTTGGGTTGAAAATGTGCATTTGGGAATCACTACCCTCTGGTGCTATTTACAGTCAGAGAAATAGATGTGAATACATAGAAAAGAATGTCCAGGACAGATCTTTGGGGAGTATCAACATTTACAAGTCATTTAGAAGAGGAAGAAGAGAGACGAAGGAAGGAGCAGAGGGGAGAGATCTGAAAAGGCTAAGGGAGCTGTGCTTCCAGTTGCATTGGTGTGCCAGGAGGCTCCAGAACTTGGCCTCTAACACTGTCTACATTGGTGCTCAGTCCTGCATGCCAGTCACTTGTGAACAGTTATCTTCTGAGCATTTGGCGCCATTAATTCTGATTTTCAAATTCTTTGGGGACAGGGAAAGTGTTGTTTTGATTACTGCTGAATGCTCAGTGCCTGGCACATGGTAAAAATTTTTATGTTAAAAGATCCCAGGATAGCTGCAGTGTTATTTTATAGGTACAACTATTTAGGTTTGTGTGACTTTAAAGAGGCTAAAGAACTTTCTTTTTTTTCTTTTTCTTTCTTTCTTTTTTTTTTTTTTTTTAATGTTTTCCCACTGAATCAGGTTTTCAAGCTAGAAATGCCCTTCTTCAGTCAAATCTTTCTCAAACTCAGCTAGCTACTATTTGGTGAGTTTGCCCATTAATTATGATTTTTAACTATACATCCTCTATAATAAGAAAGATACTGTTTCTAAAAAAGTTTGTGACTCAAAGATGTTCCATAAAAGTAGCTGCTTGAAAGTTAACACAACCTTTGAAAGCAAATAAAATTGTGCAAAATGTTATTCATGAGAACTTTGCATTTAATTATTTTATAAGTAAAACTAGTTTGCTTTATATAATGCCTTTTATGGAGAATTAGAAAATATCTCATTTTTAATGTAGAATTTAATGTGATTTGAGTCCTGGCCAGTGTTTTTCAGTGATTAGAGTGTCAGCCTGCACACCCAAGGCTCATGGTTCATTTTCCGGTCAAGGGCACCCCCGGTGGGGGCATGTGCGAGAGGCAACTAGTCCATGTGTCTCTCTCATATCGATGTCTCTCTCTCCCTCTCTCTCTCTCTCTCTCTCTCTCTCTCTCTCTCTCTCTCTCCCCCCCCCCCCCCATTCTCCTTCCCCTCCCCTTTCTCTCTCGCCTCCTTTCTCCCCTGTCTTTCACTCTCTCTGAAGAGCAATGAAAAAAAATTTCCTCAGGTATGGATTAACAAAACAAAAAAAAAAGTGATTTGCTAGGTGAATTAACCATGAAAAAAGGCAGCCCACATTTTCAGAAGGAATAGTTTTCTTTCTATTTAAAAGTTTTTTTTCTCTTTCGTGTTTAGAAATTAAGGGTAAAAATTAACTCACTTTTCTGTATCTCTACATTTTACTAAAATACGTTATGGTAACTATTTTACTATCATTCCTTTTTGAAAAGATTTTAAAATTGATTTTTAGAAAGAGAGGGAGAGAGAAATATCGATGTGAGCACATCAATCGGCTGCCTCCTGCATGTTCCCTACAGGGGATCAAGCCTGGACCCTGGGCACGTGCTCTTACTGGGAATCGAACTGACAACCTTTCTGTGCATGGAACAACATCCAACCAACTGAACCACACTGGCCCGCACTATCATTATTCTTGTTTTAAAAATTAAAAATTGAATTGTTTTGAAAATATTTCATTCCAAACTGAGACTTCCTTTCTCACTTGCGAGTTTTCACATTTTCTTTAGGAGTCTGGCTGACATTGATGGGGATGGACAACTAAAAGCTGAAGAGTTTATTCTTGCGATGCACCTCACGGACATGGCCAAAGCTGGACAGCCTTTGCCTCTGACTTTACCTCCTGAGCTGGTCCCTCCATCTTTTAGGTGAGTGCCCTTCACCCCTCAGCTGAAGAGGGGTGGTTTTGATCCCTTGGCAGACATGAGTACTACTTTGGGATTTCCACTAGTTTAGTGGAGAGTTAAACATTTACACTGACATTTAATTTTGGAATTTAATGAATTACGGAGAAGGAATAGATATTAGAAGTAGTTATGTTTTCATTGTTATCGATAAGAAAACTGATGACTAAAGAGAATAAATTTACCCCAAAAAAGCAATTTTATCAAATCTTTCTAGCTTGACAATTCATATACTGCTGTTCATTATAACTACGGACCATACTGTGTTTTAAATATCTTTACCATAATGTTCTAAATATTAATTTGCTCTGGTCATAGGTAATCTATATTATCTAGACTAAAAATTCCCCGACTGCATGACACAAAATTTATTTATTGTTCGCTTTTCTTAGAGGAGGAAAGCAAATTGATTCCATTAATGGAACTCTGCCTTCATATCAGAAAATACAAGAAGAGGAGCCTCAAAAAAAATTACCAGGTAACACTGTGTGTCTGAGTTCTCTTAAATTTTACCTTGAAATGTAAATGAATTATTTAGAATTTTTACATTTTAAATATTGTATATGCTATACAAGAATCTGATAAATGTGGTGGATTTTGACATCAAATGAAATTAAGATTGTCGAAATTAAGAGAGTATGTATGTAGGAGGAAGAGACAGTTTGTGTATTTGGCAAGAATGTGTGGATTAGCATCCTAATTAAAGTGTTTCTCCCACTTCAGGAGAAATCATTAGAGCAAATTTTGCAATGAAATCTTGAATTTTTAAAAATAGTTTAAGTATTAGTTGAAGAAATACATATGTAGATATTTTAAAATCTTAATAAGTTAATGGCACATGTCAAATAAACCAAATATATAGCCATCTTTAAGGTTGTCCTTAAAAAAATGTTGAGAAAGAAAGTTGAAAAGTATTTTTATTGGCAGAAATAGTTAAAATTATTTCGTTGGATTCAGACTTAGAAAACTTGTTTTCTAAAAATGAATATTCTTAGAGCAGAAATAGTTTACTATTTACATTTGAATTAAAATTATCCTTAGGAGAAGTATCCAGGGAGTAATAGCCAAATGGTCACAAGGCATGAGTATGTGGAGACTGAATGGTGGGGTCAGCAGGCCCTTCATGTCTGAGGATGCTTATACTGTCCCTTATGTAGTTACTTTTGAGGACAAGCGGAAAGCCAACTATGAGCGAGGGAACATGGAACTGGAGAAGCGACGCCAAGCCCTGATGGAGCAGCAGCAGAGGGAGGCAGAACGCAAAGCCCAGAAAGAGAAGGAAGAGTGGGAACGAAAACAGAGAGAACTGCAAGAACAAGAATGGAAGAAACAACTTGAATTAGAAAAACGCTTGGAAAAGCAGAGGGAATTGGAGAGACAACGGGAAGAAGAAAGGAGAAAAGAGATAGAAAGACGAGAGGTTATTTTTAGGTTATTTTATTTCCTAAGAAAATAATTTCATTTAATAAGTGACTATATTTCCTTCAATTAAAAAAATGGTTGGTTTTGTTGTGGCTTTTCCTTATTCATACTTACTTTTTACAAATCTAAATCTTGCCTGTGAGGGATGTTCGGGGCCAGTGAGCGGTAAGAGAAAGCATGTCTTCTCTTAGGTGACATCTCAGAGAACTGATTACAGAGAAGAGTGAGGAGCTGGTTAGTGAGCCAGGGGAAGAAGTCAGTTTGATCAGGTCATCAAATGAACAGAAGCTTAGGATCCAGAGTGAAGAGACCAAGGAAGTGGAGAGGCAGAAAGATGGGAGAGGGGAGACAGAGGCCTAGTGAGGAATCAAGAGGCTGGATAAACAGTGTTGTGTAGGGCTCGCAGGCTGCGTTTTAAATGGCTGGGATGGAGCACCAAAACTATAAATAATATGAATAGAAGTTGTGTTCTTCCCTGGTACCGGGAAAAGGTGCAGTTATTTCTAGTAACATATTTTTTTTACGAAATCATCCTTTTGTTTATTAAGAGAAAAGTAACTTCCCTGTGAGTCAATCCATAAATCTGATGGGTGAGGTCATTTTTGTGTAAGTTTTTTCATTTAGGACCATTGATAAAACTAGGTCTGCCCAGTTACCCATAGGCACTCAGTTCCTGCCTCACTCTTGTCATCTCTTAGTGTTTGAATGATGCAGAATTGTTTATGTAGAAATTTAATTCATTATTCTCAGGCAGCAAAACAGGAACTTGAGAGACAACGTCGTCTGGAGTGGGAGAGAATTCGCCGACAGGAGCTCCTCAATCAGAGGAACAGAGAGCAGGAAGAAATCGTGAGGCTGAACTCCAAAAAGAAAAGTCTTCATCTCGAATTGGAAGCACTGGTATGGCTAAACTTTAAATGAAATTTATCTGAATGATGCTGGAATTACCTGTTGAAAAATGTCATTGTTTTAAAAATCCATCTCATGACTACATCATGTTTAATGCTTAATGTTTTAGTACTCCACTTGGTTTTAAACCTTTATCTTAGACTGAGGATAAATGACATTTAAAAATTTAAGAAAATATTTTCCTGATAACATTTTCTATTAGCATTTTATGTTATATTTGTATGCTCTTCCTGTAGAATGGCAAACATCAGCAGATCTCAGGCAGACTTCAAGATGTCCGACTCAGAAAGCAAACTCAAAAGACTGAGCTGGACGTTCTAGATAAGCAGTGTGACCTGGAAATTATGGAAATCAAGCAGCTCCAGCAAGAACTTCAGGTAAGCCCTTTGCTGCTGAATTGTCCTTAAATGTGAAACATAATTAATAATTCTTCCTAATAGCCGAAACCGGTTTGGCGTCGGCCTGAGGACTCAAAGGTCCCGGGTTCGATTCCGGTCAAGGGCATGTACCTTGGTTGCGGGCACATCCCCAGTAGGGTGTGTGATGGAGGCAGCTGATCGATGATTCTCTCATCGATGTTTCTAACTCTCTATCCCTCTCCCTTCCTCTCTGTAAAAACTCAATAAAATATATTAATATATTAAAAACAATAAAATAAAATAATTCTTGCTAATAGAGTGGGTGTGGTTTTTGGTATCAAGAACCCCTTCAAGTCTCTGATAGGCCACCGTCCCAGAAAGGAAGTGAATATACACAATTTTGTGTATAACATCAGGAAGTTCATTGACCACCTAACACTCTGATAGGCATCTGGTTAAGGTCTACTTAATATCTGTACATAAAAGGACATTTCTCATTTTGTGTTTTAAGTTTATATATCTTAAACTAAGGTTTTTGCTACCTCTTCAGGAAATTTTGACTTAACATTATTCTTTCCAGAATTGTGCAAGAATGTTGACTGTGTCCCCCAGGACTTGGTAATTCTGTCCTTTACTTGTGCATTAGGATCTGGTTCAGTTGCCATAGTTTGCAGAATAGGGACTCTGAAAGCATTCTGTATCTCTAGAGTCCTCTTACCAAATTTCCCTTTCTATATGGACTAGCAGTTAATCAGCTGTTTTTTTCACTTTGTCACTGTGGATATAGGCAGACTCAGTAACATTTCCCATCTGATTTAAGCCTGCTTCCTTAGTTATCCCGGAGTTTTTAGTCCCTCTTTGATATACACTTAATTATTTTGGAGTGTCATGGCCTTCCTACACATATCACATAGTGCAGACACCAAAGGCCCCTCTTAGCCTGGCCCTCTGCCGTCCATCATTGTGCTGAAAGTTTAAGGTTCCAGTTGTACCCCATTAACAATGGCTTTCTTCACACCTTTTAATCTCAGCCAGTCAGTCATAAATGGATTTATGTTTAAACATCTGTATTTTTTGTTTATTTGTTAATCCTCACCTGAGGATATTTTCTCCGTTGATTTTCAGAGAAAGTGGATGGGAGGGGGAGAGACAGAGAAGGAAACACATCGATTGGTTGCTCATTTGGTTGCCTCTCACACGCAAGCTTGCAAACAAAGTATATTGACTGGAATCGAACCCACAACCCTTCAATTCGAGGGTTGATGTTCTATCCACTAAACAAACCAGCGAGGACTAAATAATTGTATTTTCAATCATGTGTACTCCATTCTAGTTTATTCACAAGTTGTAAGCAGTTGAAAACTACATATTATTCCTATACTAAGTTTTAAGAGTGATTAAATCATGTTTTGAAGTTTGCAAAAAAAAAAATTGTAGGCATTGCAGTTTTAATCAAGCACTACTTTTTCTTTTTATAAGGAATATCAAAATAAGCTTATCTACTTGGTACCTGAGAAGCAATTATTAAACGAAAGAATTAAAAACATACAGCTTGGTAACACACCTGGTAAGTCTCTAAGTTTTGTTTTGCCTTTTATTCTTTTCTGAATAACTGACTTTATCAATATATTCTGTTACCGTATTTTTTGGACCATAAGACGCTCCGGACCATAAGACGCACCAGTTTTTAGAGAAGGGAAATGAAGAAAAAAAGATTCTGAAACAAATAGTGTCCTAAAATATTTTATGTGCATTAAAACCCAACATCACAGTCATAAACACATGTAATCAACCCTGTAAAGTAAACAGCAGCATTTAGAACCATTTTAGAGCCGGGCAAGCACACAGAGACCACACAGAGCCGGGCAAGTAAAAAAACTTTTTTTTTAAAGTATATGTGTAGGCTATATTTGGACCATAAGACGCAGGGACTTTTCCCCCCACTTCTGGGGGGGGAAAAGTGCGTCTTATGGTCCGAAAAATACGGTACTTTTTAAGATAGCATTATTCTGTTATAAATAACATTTTTTGTCGGTAGTTAAAAATTTCAAATTAATGTGAAAAATACCACATGTTAGAACATTATATTAATAAAAATAAATAATCATTGTGATATGTCTTACTATATTTACATATTTCAAATATTAATCAAATAAAATGCCCGAGTACAATTAAACAAGATCTAGGTTTGGCTCTAACACAAGACCGTACATTTTGGCCATATCCTGCATGAATTGTAAAGAACTGTTATGTAGGAGATGTTTACTAAATTTAAAACAAATTGTTGGGCAGTGTATACAATATGATCCCATTAAAATCCTTTGGAAATAAGTATTGATTATGCTCATATCTAAATGTAAATGCCTAAGTGGGGAATAAGGTGAGAGTTGAAATAAAGGGGAGTTTTTTTACTCTTTAATGTGTTTCCTTTATTTTACACTAGCTTTTAAAAATATTTTATAGTTTTATACTAGATGTCTATATTTTAAAAAATTTAATAAAGTTTAAATATGTATGTAAATAATAAGATTGCTATTTTAATTTATTGTAATGTAATCTGCATTATATACTGAGTAGCCAGATTATTATGCTCTCTGAACACATAATAATCTGGCTACTCAGTGTATATCCTATACAGTAAAAGGTTAATATGCAAATTGTCCCCTCCCAGGAGTTTGACCAGCAGGCAGGCCGGCCAACTGCCCATGTTCTCTCCCCCTGGCCAGGCTGGCCGGATGCCACCCATGCATGAATTCATGCACCAGGCCTCTAATATATGTATACACACACTGAGTGGTTCAGAGATCATAATAATCTGGCCACTCAGTGTATATTTCTATCTACGGTAATTTCTCCATCCCTGCATGACTATGTAAGAAGTTATATAAAAGAAAGCCTTCTGTTCTTACTTCCTTGGGAACATTACTAAATAATCCAGTTTGTAATATTTACTGAGTCCTTACTATGAATATTCCCCTGTTCTTGGAAGCACAAAGAATAAGTAGAAAGCTACTTTGACAATAGCTGCTGTTACCGTATTTTTCGGACCATAAGACGCACTTTCCCCCCCCCCTCAGAAGTGGGGGGGAAAGTCCCTGCGTCTTATGGTCCAAATATAGCCTGTGATGTTGGGTTTTAATGCACATAAAATATTTTAGGACACTATTTGTTTCAGAATCTTTTTTTCTTCATTTCCCTTCTCTAAAAACTGGTGCGTCTTATGGTCCGGAGCGTCTTATGGTCCGAAAAATACGGTAATTGAGTATTTACTGTGGGCTACACTTTACACGAATGGCTTTATATCCATCACCTCATAAATGAGATCAGAGACATGATGCCTTTGTATAGAAAGAGAGTCTGAGGATCAGGTTAGAGAAAAGCCTTACCTCAAGCAGAGCACCTTCAAGTCCTGGTGCTTTCTGAGTAAGAACCACTGCTTACACATTCCCATAGGGAGAGCTTCCCAAGGTCTAATCTGAAAGGGGTCATTTTGACCACTGAGTTTTTATCTCTTCAGCTGATCCACATTATGCATGTGCATCCTTTGTCTTTCTCTGGTTACACCAATTTGACCAGACAGCAAATGCCAATTACTTGTAAAGACATAGAAATTTCTACCAAATGTAAACTGTCTGATGTCTGTATTTCAGATTTAGGGGTCAGTCTACTTCATAAAAAATCATTAGAAAAGGAAGAATTATGCCAAAGACTTAAAGAACAGTTAGATGCACTGGAAAAAGAAACTGCATCTAAGTTATCAGAAATGGACTCATTTAACAGTCAACTAAAGGTATTTATTATATTCTATTACATTCATTTTTGGTTAGCTGCCTTCTTATCTTCATTATTTTGACTAATAGAATGAATATGTGAAATTATTTTTATATATAGTACATTTTCATAATTTATAATTTGAGCTATACTAGAATTGCAAGATCGTTTTACATGTACTTTGTAGATGTAAACATTATGTCATGTAACTAACCATTATTTGCTATAGTTTTCAGTTTTTGATGACTTTTTATTAGCATTTGCACATTTTAAAAATAATTACCTTTGTCAATATCAAAGAATGGATCTCAGCCAGCATGATCTTGGGCAAAATTCTAAAATCGGGAATATGGAAAATTTATAATAGTCCTTGTAGAAGCTCTTCTAACACTAATTTTTTTTTCTTTGTTACAATTTAATTTACTTAACCTTTGTGAAATAATGTAATAATCAGTGAAATCTAAAGCATACTCTGGCACAATAAACTTACCATGAAAATAAGTTCATGATTCATTATTTGCTGCAGAGCAGAGCAGAAATCCAAATTATATATTGTATGTCTATCATTTTGTGCAGAATTAGTAGTATACTGAAACTAGACCTATGAAGGGGATTTGAAAAGCTAAAAACCAGACTGATGGCACATCATTCAAATTTGGGAGTTATTCCTTTCTAACTGAGCATAAAGTTTTCCTTTTCTAACCAAGCATAAAGTTTTCAGAGCATAAAGTATTGCATAGCTTTTCAGGCAGCTATGTGACTTTTATCTTGCTGTTTAGAATAACATGACACAAACTCTAGAATAAACAAATAAAATAAAAAAAGGTGATGTGGGTTCAACTAAGGAAGAGAAATTTGAGGTGCATATTAATACATTTCACACATGTATATATTTATTATAGAAAAAAAAATAACCAAATAATTTGTCATTGATGGACAGACAAGCCAGCCAAGTTAACTTCCCTACATTATTTTTTTTAATCTGTACATAGTTTAATTGGCTTTTTATCTGCCTTATCTTGCAGTGTGGGAATATGGATGACTCTGTTCTTCAGTGCCTTTTGTCTCTGCTCAGCTGTCTCAACAACCTCTTCCTCTTACTTAAGGTTATTTTCTAATATCTAGCTCCTTTGCTTTGAGTTACTTTACTGTTTTCTTTTTTTTTTAACTAGACTATTTTTTGCATTTATCTGAATATCTTTGTTTGAAATAACATATGTAATATAGACCTTTTTCTTCCTGCTTGCTTGAATATCCTTCTGCTATCTAACTGCCTGTTTGATTCTAATGCCAGAAATCAATATGAGTGCCTTCCTCATAAGGAACCCAGACACTTAGAAATATCACTGGGTTCCCTTACGTCATTCCTGTGAGCTGGGTTAGCTGATTGGATGATCACTGATTGAATTAAAAGGAAAGATAAAAGAGTGTGAGATTAAGTCATTTACCCATATCACTGAAGATAACTGTTTAAAATAAAACTTTTACTTTCTGAAATCTAGGACTAGGTTATATCATGCATATAATGGTTTGCTTTCTAATACTGCTATGGAACTATTTTAACCAATAATGCAGGGGCAGCTTTAGTTATATCTAGTTACCAGGCTTCATGTTTAGACATGCTTGCACTTCAGATAAAAACGTTTAAATCACGTGTAAATAAAGAGTTCACTTTGTCATATATAGCATATGAGTATTTAAAATACTCAATGAATCCCTGTTTTAATATATAGCATGTCCTCAAGTAATGGTTTATTCAATGTAGTCTTGTTATAACACTGATGAGATGCCATAGAAACTGAACTCTTGTTTATAACAGTTAGCCTATGGTAAAATTAGTTTTGCTATACGTTGTTTCACTTAAAAGTTAAAGAACCTTTTGACAATGTTAAGCGAGGTCTCACTGTAGTTTAAAGAAAGGTGCTTCAAATATACCATGTGCTAACCTAGTAGATTCTGACTGCCTTCAACCAGGGACTAAAATGGATGGCTGTAGGCAGTAGTTTGCATATGCACAGCCAAGACAGGGGTGTGATAAATGGAGCTCTTTTGTTGCCTAAGCAAAGATAGGGCAAATTGGAACGACAACATCAGCTTTTCCTTTGTGGCTATAGTGGCAAAATGGCCAAATTATCTGATTTTAGAACTTTTGCTACAAATTACACAAAAATTTAAACTTCAGTTTCTTTATCTGTAAAATGGGTTTAATGATGACGTGGGGATTATACTCACACACGCAAGTCTGATTCTTTCACATAACATTTGATTCTCCACAGGCCAGCAGATTATCCTTACCTCTTGTTTTGCTTTTTTCGTTCTGCTTCCTGCCTTCTAGCCTTTCACTGCTTATTCAGACTTTCATCATTTAGAAAACTAAAAGGGGGTGAGACCTATACTGTTGAAGTGGTTAGGAAGACTGGCCGTGGTGTCACAGAAAGCAAGAATAGAGTCCCTCTTAATCAGTATGGTAAAGTGATACAGAGCAATCAGTTAACATAGTAATGAAAAAGGTTCATGGAATTGTCAACAAGGAGACCTTTGAAGACCTTTGAAGTGCCATTTCAGTTGAATGACAAGCAGAAGCACGATTGCAACAGATCAGGAATGGAAGTTGAGGAAGGGTTGAATGTGAGCAACATTAAGAGGAGAGTGAACAGAGCATGAGGCCAAAGGAAAACTTTGGTCTTTGGAAGAAAGGTTTGAAGGATAAAGGGTTCAAAGTTTGCTTATGTAAGAGGAATAAGTTCTGGGATCTAATGTACAGCAGGGTGACTATAGTTAACAATACTGTTTAGTTTTCTTGAAATTTCCTAAGAGGATAGATCTTAAAGTTCTTAACACTGAGGAGAGAACTACATATGTGAGGAGATTGCTATTTTAATGAGGTTGATTGTGGTGATTATTTCACAGTGTATAAAATATGTAAATTTTTATTTGCCGGTTATACCTCAGTAAAGCCGGGGAAGAAAAAAGAAAAGTTAGGACCAGCCTTGGAGGTAGGATCAGCTTTCTGTAAGACATATAGCCACATAGTAAATGGATAAGATAAAAGGCTGGAGATGATGGTTAGGCAACCACATCCAACTCAATGTCTTAGTGATGGTTGACTAATTCCATTGCCAAATTACCAGCACTTAGTGCATGGAAGATAGTGGGTGGCAATAAATACATGTTTAATGAATGGATGGTTTTAAATGTTCTCAGTCAGAAAATATGCAGCATTTAGGGTTACTATTAGAGTTTATGAGGAAAAAAAGCACAATGAGATTAGTCAAAAAACAGCAGAGAACCATGTAGTAGTAGTTCATATTTTAGGAACACTTCTGACTCCATGTAGTTTATTCTTTTAAGTAAAGGCTATTTTTTTAATGCAAAAGGAAAGGAGGAATACAGACAGATTTGAAGGAGATGATAACAAAAGAGGAAGGACCCAGCCAGAGTGGCTCAGTGGTTGAGCATTAACCCATGAACCAGGAGGTCAAAGTTTAATTCCTGGTCAGGGCACGTAGCCAGGTTGCAGACTCAATTCCCCAGAAGGGTGTGCAGGAGGCAACTAATCAATGATTCTCTCTCATAATTGATGTTTTTATCTCTCTCTTCCTTTCTCTCTGAAATCAATAAAAACATGTTTTTAAAAAGAGGAGGGAGGAAAATGAGAGATTGAGTGACATTGAATATATAAAATGGTGGTTGATAAAGTCCCTAGGGAAGCAGATTAAAATAATCTATAATTTAAAGGATTAGATAAAAAGAATACTTCCAGTATAACACATGGGGGATACAACCTAACAAAAAGACGATAAACGATCCAATCAAAAAATGGGCAAAAGACCTAAATTGATACTTTTTAAAAGAGGATATGCAGAAGGCCAAGAGACATATGAAAACATGCTCAAGTCGCTAATCATCTGAGAGATGCAATCAAAATAACTGTGAGATACCATCTCACACCTGTCAGAATGGCTGTCATCAATAAATGACAAGTGCTGGCAAGGATGTGGAGAAAAGGAAATCCTCGCGCACTGCTGGTGGGAATGCAGACTGTGCAGCCGCTGTGGAAGACAGTACGGAGTTTCCTCAGAAAGTTAAAAATGGAACTCCCATTTGACTCAGTGATCCCACTTCTAGGATTATATCCAAAAAAAACAGAAACACCTATCAGAAAGGATATATGCACCCCTATGTTCACAGCAGCACAATTTACAATAGTGAAGATTTGGAAACAACCTAAGTGCCCATCAGCATCTGAGTGGATTAAAAAACTGGTTTATCTACACAATGGAATACTATGCCGCTATAAAAAAAGAAGAAACTAATGTCATTGCCAAATTACCAACCCCCTTTGGGATAGTAGAGCATCTGATCACTCCTTTTGGCAACTGTGGTGAAACATGAATAATATTAAAAGTATCTTTAAAGCCCTACCCAGTTTGGCTCAGTAGATATAGCAATGGCCTGCAGACTGAAGGGTCCTGGGTTCAATTCCCATCAAGGGCATGTACCGGGCATGCAAGAGTCAACTAATCAATATGTTTCTCTCACGTCAGTGTTTCTGACTCTCCCTCTCCCTTCAGCACTCTCTAAAAATCAATGGAAAAAAACATCCTCTAGTGAGGAAAATAAATAAATAAATAAATAAATAAATAAATAAATAAATAAATAAAGTATCTTAAGAAATTGTTTTATTGGATCCTGTAATAGACATATAGAAGATCAGTGATAATTTTTACTCCTTGGCTCAAGTCATACTAAGACAAATAGGAAAGCCAAAAGATAAGACATTTGATAGGCCATTATTACATTAAGGAAATTCACACAATATTGTATCTTTAGCAGTGAGGAATAATGGGAAAAGTACTGGCCTAGGAATCTAAAGAAATTAGTTCTGGTCTCATCCATGCCATTTGCTAGTTGTGTAAATATTTGTCATTTAATCTCCAAACTTTCTTTTATGAAAATAAGCGAACAATGTCAGCTCTTCCTTCTTTGCAGAGTCTTATGATGATTAAATGAGAGTATATATATGTGCTATACACGTATTTTGTTGTTCTTATTGGGGAAGGGATTATCATGAATCTTCAAATTATCTTTAGTGTGTTGCAAAGTCACCACTGTTGACTTTGAATAATGTTTGGGGTGTACTTTTCCTTAGAGGGAAGGTAGGATTTGTCAGTACAATCTTTAGTGGTTTAGTTTCTTCTTAACCTGTGTATCCAAAGTTAAGTAAAGGGAAGATGAGATTTTAATTTATACAGGTGACAGTAGGATAGCTAATTTGGGGATCAGGAACAGTAGTCCTTTATATTTTGAGTAAAAACTTAAATAAGTATCTACTAGATATACTCAATTAAACTACATATGTAAAAAATTGGCTGAATGAAATTCCTCTTAAAATGTTGTAACAAGCACATTGTTTTAAGAAGTTTTAATGCATTGCTTTTAAGTTAAACATGAATTATCAAATCAGAGAATTGGTTTGTAAAGATTCTGTGTTCCTTAGGAATGAATTAATACAAAAGTAGATGGTTTTAAACAGGTCTTTGTCCTCAATGACTACATGGCTTAAATATGTATTGTATTGTTATGTTTTTAATCATGTAGATGTTTTTAAACTTTCAATATTTTTACTTTAGCTTAACTTGCTTTAAGATTTTTGTCTTTTAATGAAAATGACTCATTATATAAAAACAATATTTAAATTAATGGCCTAATTGACTTATTTTCATTTTCTCCTTAGGAACTGAGAAAAACCTACAATACACAGCAGTTAGCTCTTGAACAGCTTCACAAAATCAAACATAACAAGTTAATGGAAATAGAAAGAAAAAGGTCAGAGCTAATACAAAAAAAGAAACTAGAAGATGAGGCTGTAAGGTAATATAGCTGATAAAGTTATTATTCTACTAGAGGCCCAGTGCTTGAGAATCGTATACTGGGCAAGGTGGGGGAGCGGGAAGTGGTGGGAGAGAGCGTGGTCCCTCAGCCTGGCCTTCACCCTCTCTCAGGCAACTTAGGTCCACTCCCTGGACATCCTTAGTGGTGGGAGAGTCTCCTGCCACTGCTGCTGTGGCGAGACGTGAGCCTGGCTCCTTTGTTGAGCATCTGCCCCCTGGTGGTCATTGCACATCATAGCAACCAGTCGTTCTGCCGTTCGGTTGATTTGCATATAAGCCTTTTATTATTTAAGATATTACTCAAGAATTCAAATTTTGTTACCTATACGTCTAGTTTGACTATGAAAATTTAAGGGGAATAAAAGATAAATAAAAGGATTGTCCTAAGATGCTAATTAAATTCTAAATTTTAGAAATTCATTTCTTCTTTTAGGAACTAAATTTACAGTAATCAATTTTTATGTTTCATGAGTGAAAACTATGGGCTTTGGAGTCAGACCTGAAAGATGAAAAAAACTAAATACTTTTGTAGAATGATAAGACTGAGTGTAGAATTTTGTGTTGTGCAGTTCTCTTTGTACCACTGAGATATATCAGTTGCCTTCGTTTATAGCGAGGAAAAGTAGGACAGTGTGGTATCTGAAGCGTAGAACCATTCATTTAGAGCAGTGATTTTTAGCTTTTCATCTCATGGCACATAAGAACTAATTACTAAAATTCTCCAGCACACCAAAAAAATTTCTTGCCATTCTGACAAAAGAAAAATAGGTATAGCAACTCATATCTCTTTGCTACAATAAATATATAATTACTATATAAGATTACTAGAGCTCCAGTGCAAGAAATTCATGCACAGGTGGGGTCCCTAGGCCTGGCCAGCAATCAGGGCCTGTCAGGGCCACCTCTCCCAATCCTCATCGGGCGGGCCAGCTGGGGCCTGTTGGACAGGGGGAGGGACTGCGGGAGTTTTGCAGGCAGTGGGGAGGGTTTGGGGGAGGTTGGCTGTGAGAGCACAGTGACCACCAGGGGGCAGCTCCTGTGTTGAACATCTGCCCCCTGGTGGTCAGTGCACATCAGAGCAGCTGGTCGACCTGTCATTCCAGTCGTTTGGTCAAAACAGTTGCTTAAGCTTTATCTATATCTATATCTATATAAATATAGATATAGATACATATGTAGATATATATTTAACTATATATTATATCTAAATAGATGTAATATTTCTTCAGTTTGTCAAGAGCAAGATCTGTTTTATTTTTGTTTTGTTTTTAAAAAATTAGGACATTGTGCAAACTCTTTCTCTTTTATGTAAAGGAAAGCAAAGCAAGGAAAAGAAAACTTATGGAGAGAAAATCTTAGAAAGGAGGAAGAAGAAAAACAAAAGCGGCTCCAGGAAGAAAAGACCCAAGAAAAAGTTCAAAAAGAGGAAAAGAAAACTGAGGACAAACAATGTAAGGATACAAATAAAAATAAGATTTGATTTTTCTGAGACAGAGCAACAAAAGAAAAAAGAAAGATTCTGATGAAAGGCAAAAAGAAAAAAAACACTAAACAGATAACTATCTTAGAATCAGAAAAAAAGTTCTTTTCTAAATTCAACTTGGATGAGAATTGTGTAGACTTATTAAAACAAACTGAAGGCAGCCCAGCAGGGATTTCTCAGTTGGTTAAGCATCGACCAATGAACCTGGAGGTCGCAGTTTGATTCCTGGTCAGGGCACATGCTTGGGCTTGATCCCTAGTAAGGGATGTACAGGAGGCAGCCAGTAAGTGATTCTCTGTCATCATTGATGTTTCTCTCTCTCCTTCTCCCTTCCTCTCTCTGAAATCAATAAATATATATATATATATATATATATATATATATATATATATATATATTTTTTTTTTTTTTTTTTAAAGACAGAGGGTAGAAATCTTAAAAAAAAAAAAAAATTGAGAAAAGAAGGTAAGTCATCACTATGAACAGACCATGACGTGGTTTTCATAATCTAAGTGAACAGTTTCAAATACTTTTTCAGCTAGTATTTATTTTAATGAAACAATAAAATTTTAAGTCTTGCCCTAACCAAGTTGGCTCAGTGGATAGAGCATCGGCCTGCGGATTCCAGGGTCCCAGGTTCGATTCCGGTCAAGGGCATGTACCTTGGTTGCAGGCACATCCCCGGTGGGGGGTGTGCAGGAGGCAGCTGATCTATGTTTTTCTCTCATTGGCGTTTCTGACTTTCTCTCCCTCTCTTTTCCTCTCTGTAAAAAAATTAATAAAATACGTATTTTTTTAAAAAATTTAAGTCTTTGCACATTAAACGTGTTTAGAACATTACTGTGTTTTTTATATACCATTCCTAAAATATTTTTTATTATTATTATATCTCTTTTGAATATATAGATCATTAAATCCTTAGTAATACAATGTGTTGAAAATTTTATAAGCAAAAACATTTATTCTACAAATGACCAAAGTAAAATATTTTAATCTTATCAAGTCTAGTGTATTTGTGAGCCCTCCTGTGGTTTTTCTTTTAGAACCATACTGATACATGTATAGATCTTTCTTTAGTCAACTCTGGTTACTTACTAATCTTCTCATTGGTGACCTCCCTTTTCGTGCTCTTTTTCCCTGTTACATTCTGATCAAACTAATAAGCCACTTGCTGCTTCTACTTTGCACTGCTCAGCCACCATCACTCCCTTAGATCCCTTCACATGGCAAACCTGCAAGTTATCTCTTTGTTTACTGCCTCCAACTTTACTTCAGATGTGCATCCTTGTCTGCTTTTATAGTGATTTTAAGACTATTCAAGATATTTAAATCCTCTAACAAGACTGTACAAGTGGATTTTCATCATACAGTTTGATTCTCAGTTTTTTCTTTTGAGCGTTCTTTATTGAGTCATAGCAAAATGTATACATGAAAGTAGCAAATAATGACAATTATCTTCTCTTTAGGTGAGCCAGCTAGTGAGTTGGTGAATTATAGAGCTTTATATCCCTTTGAAGCAAGGAGCCATGATGAGATGAGTTTTAATACTGGGGATATAATACAGGTAGGAAACAGTCTCTTTTTTTCTCACAAACTGAATACAATGCAATATCTGTCTTATCTGTAGTTTCACTTTCTGTGATTTCAGTTACCCTTGGTCAATCACAGTCTGAAAATATTAAATGGAAAATTCCAGAAATAAAACAATTGATAAGTTTTAAGTAGCCTGCCATTCTGAGCAGCATGATGACATTGTGTTCCGTCCTGGTGGGGTGTGCATTATCACAGTGTCCGGCATGTCTGTGCTGCATACACTGCCCACCCTTAGCCACTTAGGAGACATCTCGGCTATCAGCCTGACTCTAGCAGCATCATGGTGGTTGTGTGCAAGTCTGCAACTCTTTCCACTGTACAAGTGTGGCTTTCTACTGTTAACCCTTCTTTTCGTTTCCATAGGTTGATGAGAAAACCACAGGAGAACCTGGTTGGCTTTATGGTAGTTTCCAAGGAAAGTTTGGCTGGTTTCCATGCAACTATGTAGAAAAAATGCCATCGAGTGAAAAATCTGTGTCTCCGAAAAAGGCCATACTTCCTCCCACAGTATCTTTATCTGCTACCTCAACTTCTTCTGAGTAAGTGTTTAGCTAACAGTAGAGTTTATATAGCTCTGCAAATGAGTGAATGCCCAGTATGCATTTATGTCAACCTGTGACTTAATTGTTTTATAATCTGTACTAGACTCTTCAAGAGTACCTCCTGTTCTGATATTAATACTGAAACTTGGTAATTAAAACATAGGCCAGTAGTTTGTTCATGAATTCTTTTTTCCACAAATTGTGTTTAAACATCATGTATTATATTACAAATTGATACACTGGTAGTGCTTCATTAGATTCTAAACAATTAAGTATACTTATAAAGGTTTTCTATTTACAGATCACTTTCTTCAAATCAGCCAGCATCAGTGACTGATTATCAAAATGTATCTTTTTCAAACCTAACTGTTAATACATCATGGCAGAAAAAGTCAGCTTTTACTCGCACTGTGTCCCCTGGATCTGTGTCCCCTATTCATGGACAGGTATGGATCGTCAATATTTTGTGCTTTATCTTTCGACATTGCTCCTGGTGTATATAAAATAGAATGAAGATTTTCATACAAAGGCATTACTTACTTGTTTAACTAGAGTTTGTAGCACTTAGTTTTATTCTTATCACTCACATGTGATATGAAGAAATTATTATTACTTAGAGGTTTTTCAACCATTTATTCTTATGGTATCAAGTGGCAGCTAAGACTTGTAACTTCAAAATACCATTTTTATAAATCAGATTATAATGTTCTTAATTTGTAGTTATTATAAGAAGAGATTTGGGTTTTTGTATGTGTTTTTTTTCTTAAATCATTTATGTGGGAACTGTGGTATGTATATTTAGCCTCTAGCTTAGATATAACTGTTACAAGCATTGTTAACCAACATTATATTTAAAAATTGCAGATTTCATCAGAATAGAGTCCTAGAGATTTTACCTTCACTCAAAAAATGTTTATTGTGTGACTGTAGGTTCCAGGCACTTTATTATGTGCTTGAAATTTAATGGGGGGAAAAAAAATCCCTGCCAAAACCAGTTTGGCTTAGTGGATAGAGAATCGGCCTACAGATTGAAAGGTCCCAGGTTTGATTCCGGTCAAGGGCATGTACCTTGGTTGCTGGCACATCCCCAGTAGCGGGTGTGCAAGAGGCAGCTGATAGATGATTCTCTTTCATCGATGTTTCTATCTCTCTCTTCCTCTCTGTAAAAAATCAATAAAATATATATTTTTTAAAATCCCTGCCAGTAAGAAGTCATAATCTAATGAGACAGACATATAAATAAATAACTGTAAAGGTTTTAATTATGAGGAACTGCAAAGGTTTTAATTATGTCAGAGAAAATAAAGTTTGGAAGAAGCTTTTGGTTTTTTGTTATCAATGACCTCAAAAAGAAGTTCAGTATATGGGTATAAAAACTAAGTTAAAATGGATTAAGGGATGAAATTGGAAAGCAAGTTTAAGACTGTTCTTTCTTTAATAAATTTGGAAGAACAAGTAGGTAGAATAGTAGATAGATGGAAGAGATGGAAGATTCAGGAGAGGGTCTTCACAGTGTCACACTGTTTTTAGAAAATGGGAGGGCCTAACAAGATTAGAGCAGAGGTAAAGAGATTAGCCTTGTCAGCCAAACAAAACCACTCCTCCTCTGAGGAGTCACCTGCGTCCACTGCCGGAGGAGACATTGGACACTGGAGGAGAGACAGGCTTGCAGTAGCTTTCCCTTTTCATTTGTTCTCTTACGTACAGAGTAGCCAGTGCTCACTTTCTGTACAGTGGTACTTAATGCCAAGATCTGTCCTTGCATGGTAGACGTTCAGTCTCTAACTTACCAGAAGACTCCTCAGATGGTTGTCTGTCATAGACAATTTTAAGTCAATAGATTAAGGTTGTCTTAAGTCACCATCTATCTATACATATAAAAGCCAAGTGACCAGAATGACCAGAACAACTGATCGCTGTGACTCGTACTGGGGCTGGCCAACCAGCCTAATCAGGGACCCGACTGGGAGTGGGCCAGCCAGCCAGCCTACCGCGTCCCCTCCCCCTGATCGGCACAGGCTGGCCAGTCCCCACCTGTACACGAATTCGTGCACCTGGCCTCTAGTTAGTAATAAGTCACCACCATACCAAACTCATCTGCTGTTTGAACAGGAAGTATATCCTGATTATTAATGTTTTGTTTCTAATTTTGTATTTTTGTATTCACAGGGACAGGTTGTAGAAAACCTAAAAGCACAGGCCCTTTGTTCCTGGACTGCAAAGAAAGATAACCACTTGAACTTCTCAAAACATGATGTTATTACTGTCTTGGAGCAGCAAGAAAATTGGTGGTTTGGTGAGGTCCATGGAGGAAGAGGGTGGTTTCCAAAATCTTACGTCAAAATCATCCCTGGGAGCGAAGTCAGGCGAGAAGAGTAAGCATTTCTGAGTGTTCTCGTGAAGTGTGGATGTTGGTGCTTCACTGATGAGTCAGCCTCCTGGTTCAGAGGTCACTCAACCACTGAGCCACACTGGCCAGATGTTATTATTTTTTATTGTCTGATGTTGTTCAGTAATATATATATATTAATGTTGTGTGCTCTAAGTAAACAGTAAGATTTATGTATTACTTTTGCTTTTCCTTATACTGATTCATGCTCCATATGTAATTTACCAAATAACTGCCCATTTAAAACTGTTCTTTAAAAAAAAAAATTGATTTCAGAGAAGAAGGAAGAGGGAGAAAGAGATAGAAACATAATGATGAGAGGGAATCATTGATCAGCTGCCTACTGCATGCCCCCAAACTGGGTATCGAGCCCAAAACTGGGCATGTGCCCTTGAACAGAATCGAACCCTGACCTCGTAGTTCATAGGTCGACACTCAACCATTGAGCCACGCCAGCCGGGCACTTATGTCTTTTAAATCCCTTTGGAAATGCAAAATAATAGCACATTTGAAAAATTAATTTAGATAGCCCTAAAAAAATGTGCTGCTGTATTCATCAAATACTTTTCTTGTCTTTTGATTGTTGATGTCCCTGTTTTATCTGTTTGTGTGTTTATTTGGCAGGCCAGAAGCTCTGTATGCAGCTGTAAACAAGAAACCTACCTCCGCAGCCTATACAGTTGGAGAAGGTGAGCTTTTGACAATTTGTATATTAGATGGGAGTCAGATTACCAGCTAACTTCCCACAGTTTTTATTCTCCATATTTCTCTGTCTTCATTATTGAAGTGAGGTTAGGAAAACCAGCCCCTTGCCTATTTCACATGAATATTGAGGATATATAAAACATTTGACTGAATATATTTGGCACTTTTAAAAAATCAGTACTATAAAATTTCACCATGCACTGCCTCAATAAATAAGATCATAAATAAAAGTGTTGCAATGAGATAGCACAAAAGTTTTTGTTTTCCTGCTATTATATATCCACATTATAGATGTTTAGGATGTAAAGAAATTTTAGTACATTTAGTTTATTTACAAATTGCATTTTAATTACAGTGTACCATATAAATAATTAAGTAGAATTTGTCGTCAAAATACACTTTAAATATTACAAAGAATATTTATAGCCCTTGGGGTTGTTTGACTAATAAATTATTTTGATCTTGTTAATGTGCTGAAAAATTAAGTAAAGATTGTCTATTGTCTTTGCAGACATTTTTTTTTCTATGAATAGTTACAATACAGGATAGGGCAAAAATAGGCTTGTAGTGAGTACACGAAACGGTATATTTTTGTATTATTTATTATTGTATTATTTTCCATGCAAACAACTGTAAACCTTTTTGCCCCACCCTGTAGGTTTACAAATGAATTATATATGTCCATTATAAAATTAGTTGAGTAGTGAAAGTACAGTTTATGTTCATATTGCTCAAGAAAATCAATTTAATAGTAAATTAAACAAATCGTTCAGCATTACTCTAATTAGAGATTCTGTGCTACAGCCTGAAATATACAGGGATGAATAAAACACAGCCTCCAAAGAATGGGGAAAATAGGCTTACACTTCGGAAATTTTCAACCAAAATTCTCTCCTTTTTGCTTTGTTTCCTACAGAGTATATTGCACTTTATCCGTATTCAAGTGTAGAACCTGGAGATTTGACATTCTCAGAAGGCGAAGAAATACTGGTGACTCAGAAAGATGGAGAATGGTGGACAGGCAGTATTGGAGATAGAACTGGAATTTTCCCATCAAATTATGTCAAACCAAAAGATCAAGAGGTAGAGTTCATTCCATTTTATTTATCAAGGTTTATACTTAAAACAGAGACTCATGAATTTGGTTTTGGTCAGGCTGCTTTTGGTTACTAGGAAACCACTCAAGGTCACTCCAGTAAAATAGTTTATTATAGGGATCCTGGTAGAGAGAGAAGGGAGGCAGGATTTGATGAAATTCTAAGAACAAGAGACATGGGTATGGCTGGGCTTCATGATAACTCCCATAATCAGGGAGGCTTTGTAAGGAACCTCCTCGAAGGAGTTTGTAAATCCTTTAAGATTCTGACATTAATGTGACTCAGCCTATACTGAGTTCCTACTTCTTTTTATCCCACTAATAATATGTTATACTGCAGCAGTTATTAAATTTCTTTTGTTTCAGGAATTTTTTACATTCTTAAAAATTACTGGGGACTCCAGAGAGGTTGTTTTGTTTTGTTTAATATATGGGCTATATCTAGTGATATTTTCCATAAAACTGAAATTTTTAAAATATTTTTGGCTCAGCGAATAGAGCGTTGGCCTGCACACTAAAGCAGTGGTCGCCAATCTTTCAGACCTCGGTTGGACTAAAGGGTCCCAGGTTTGATTCCGGCCAAGGGTGCATGCTGGGGTTATGGGCTTAGTCCCCCCTAGTAGGGAGCGTGCAGGAGGCAGCCAATCAGTGATTCTCTGTCATCGTTGATGTTTCTATTTCTCTATCCTGCTCCCTTTCTTTCTAAAATCAATAAAAATATATTTTAAAATATATATATATTTTAAATTTATTTTAACATAGAAGAGTTACTCATTGTGTAATAACATAAATAACTTGATTTTTATGGAAAAAAACAACTATTTATATATTTCCAAAAAAATTTTTTTTAGTGAAAAGAGTGGCATGTTTTGTGTTTGAAAACCTCTTTAATGTCTGGCCTAATTGAAGACAGCAAGATTCTCACATCCACTCTGCTCCAGTACTTTTACTGCAGCTGCATCCACCAACAGAAAACAATTTAAACATTCACTGCTGCTTCTTTTTTTTTTCTTCTTTTTTTTATATATATATTTTATTGATTTTGTACAGAGAGGAAAGGAGAGAGATAGAGAGTTAGAAACACCGATGAGAGAGAGTCATCGATCAGCTGCCTCTTGCACACCCCCTAATGGGGATATGCCTGTAACCAAGGTACATGCCCTTGACCGGAATCGAACCCGGGTCCCTTCAATCCCCAAGCCGACGCTCTATCCATTGAGCCAAACCGGTTTCGGCAAACTTTCGCTTCTTATTCAGATTCCTAAAAAGAGGAAAGAAATGTGGTTGGCCCAACTTATCCTGAGAAGTCAAACAGGTTATAGTTGCTGGAGTAAGGATCTTTTGTTCTTAGATCAGGATGAGAGGGGACATAGCAAAAAAAATGTAAAATAATTTTTTTATTTTTTTTTATTTTTTTTTTGCTCCAATGCAGCAGGAGCAGAACTCACATATGCCTTAACATATCCAGGACACATAGACTGAATGTGGTGCTAACTTAAATGGGGCATATTTGACCTTGGTAGTCACATTTAATGTTCAGGAGGAATTCTTGTTGAGTCGGGATGCACATTAGTTACTTGTCTCTAATATGCTCTGTTAGCAGACCAGAATTCCCACAAGTATGGGATTCTTAACGTTTTTGGTTAATGTAAGGTTGTCATTTTGCTCTTCATTTAAAGAAACAAACCAAGGCATTAGACGTCACTAATTCCTAATAACCTTTGTACTTTTACACCTGGATTCTTGGGAAATGATAAAACAGTATATCTTCTCCTTACAGAGTTTTGGGAGTGCTAGCAAATCTGGAGCATCAAACAAGAAACCTGGTATGTATAACGATGAAATGAAAAAAATTACTGAAGTGCTTCATAGCCTTGAGTTCATAGTTTCTCGTTTATTTTTATTCTCAGAGATTGCTCAGGTGACTTCCGCGTACACGGCTTCCGGCACGGAGCAGCTCAGCCTCGCCCCAGGACAGTTAATACTGATATTAAAGAAAAACACGAGTGGCTGGTGGCAAGGGGAGTTACAGGTAATCATCTTCAAATACCATCTATCGATTTTATTATAAAACTAGTGCATGCTCACTAAAATTAAAACTAATAAAAATTTTAGATCACCACTTAGAGGTAACCTACATGAACATGTTAGTGTATAATGATTCTCTCTAGTCTTTTCACTGTTTATTTTTAGCATAGTTGAATTGATATTATAAGTAACAATATATGAGAATATTTTTCTCAAAAGACATAATTTTCCAGTAATACTTCCTTCAATAAACCACAGGTCTCCTTCTTAAATGTAAGCATAGCATCATCTTTGTCTGGGATAACCCGGGTTGGGATAACCCCAGCCTCTGGGAGAAAAAGCATGGACATGGTCTAAGGACATGCCCTGAGAAAACATTGGACTTTCCTCTCATGATCTCATGTTTTTGACACATTGGTGCAAAGAAAGGAAGTACTGGCATAAATGAGCATGTTTTATGTCTCTGAAAAGTTAGCAGAGGCAATTATTGCATATGTTTTGATACAGAGTGTTTTTTTCTCTCTCTCTTAAAATTTCATTGCTAGTTAAAATCAAAGAGCCTTGTGGGATTAAAAGGTGATGAGAGGTACAGTCGTATTTTTATGTAAGATTTACGTATGATTGTAATAAGGAGGATAAACATAGCTTCATTCTTGCAAATTAGTCTTACAATCCTAAAGAACAGTGGATGTTCAAAATTCAGTACCTTTTTATTCAAAAAGTACTATTCAGCACCCTGAAATCCCACCTTCTATTTGCTTTGAAGATTGACCCAACTAAGTAGGAAACATGGCTCTCCACAAATTTTATTTGTGGTCTCCTGACTAATTATCGAAGTCCCAAGAAGTGCTTACTATGGGCTGTGCCATTTTAAGTGCTGACTTGAATTTATTACAAGAACTCTAGAAATGTGTTCTTATTTTATAAATATTACTTGTGTGAAATATGCAGATAATTCTGAGCCTGAAACATCTTCAAATAGACTTCCACAAATAGTGTTTTGAACTGCACTTTGAGCTTCACATTGAATCTTCCAGTTGTTTGATACTGACCTGGAAGGCCAGTGCAAAATTCAGGGCTTCCCAAGAGCACCCCTACTCTGACACCAGTTTTAAGTTTGGAGGTCTCTGGACCACTCTGAAGTTCAAGTTTGCTAGAACTCACAGGACCTACTGAAAGCTACAGTAGTCCCCAGTGGATGCCTGAAACCACAGATGGTACTGAATCCTCTATGTACCATGTTCTTTCCTTTACATATATACCTATGATAGTGGTTAATTTAGGAATTAGACATATTAAGAGATTCATAAAAACCAATACTAAGGTAGAAAAAGTATAAAAGTATATTGTAATAAAAGTTACGTGGATGTGATCTCTGTCAAAATATTTTATTGTACTGTACTTACCTTTTCACTTAAAGGAAGCACTTTCCAGCTTCTCTTTGGCATTTCCTAATTGTCTGCATCACTACTCTTGTGCTTTTGCGCCATTATAAAATAAAATAAGGGTTACTTAAACATAAACACTACAATGCCATGACAGTGGATATAATAACCTAGAGAATTACTGACCGACAGGCAGATATTGCATACAGCATGGAAACACTGGACAAAGGGGTGATGCATGTCCTGGGTGTACGGAGAGGGATGGGGTGAGATTCCATCACGTTACTCAGAACAGAGTGTAACTCAGATCTGAAGAATGGTTTCTTTCTGGAATTTATTAATATTTTCACACCACAATTGACTGTGGGTAACTGAAACTGTGGCAAACAAAACCATGGATTAAGGGGGGACTACTGTGTTACACACATGGCTACAGTTTATTACAGCCAAAGGATGTAGATTAAAATTAGCCCAGGGAAAAGATGGGTTCCAAACACAGAGCTCCCAGCTGTTCTCTCCCAGTGGAGTCCTGATCAGCACTTAACTTCCTACAAAGGACCCACAGGTACTGCCAGCCACGGGCGCTCACTTGAGCTTTGGTGTCCAGCGTGTTATGGGGCTCTATCACATAGACATGGTTGGCTGTCTGTATGGATGAACTCAGTCTCCAGTCTCTCCAGAGGTTGAGTTCAGACTACGTGACCCAGACCACCCACCATAAATCACATGGTTAAGACTCTGGCATGGTCAGGGCCCCAGGTAAACTCAGACACTCATCAGTCTTGACATTCCAGAGGTTTAAAGATGACCTCCCAGGAGCCAAAGACAAAAACCAGGCCTTTCTTTGAGCAAGGTTAAATTCTTTACTACACAGGACTTTTCTACATGCTTTGTTTATGTCTCAGTAATTTGTTTTAATCTCATCTTTCGTACTCCTTTTGCTAATTTTACAGGCCAGAGGCAAAAAGAGACAGAAAGGATGGTTTCCTGCCAGCCATGTTAAACTTTTGGGTCCAAGTAGTGAAAGAACTACACCTGCCTTTCATCCTGGTATGGAATGAGTTAACTTGCGTTTCATCATAGAGAATTTTTGTTAAAACTCACCAACTTCTCAGAAAAGCTAACTCTGAAAAATATTAAAAATTTCTCCTTTCTAGAGAACTTCCTTTCCAAAAAGTTCTGTGTAGAAACAGCCAACTGTCAAATGAATACTTGAACCTTTTCACTCCTTAAAATTTCTCAATTGGAATTACTGTACCATCAGACTTAGCGTGAAGCAGTTCACTTAGCTTTTTAACTGTAGTTTGGAAAGGATGGTGTTTATAAAGCAGAATGGCCAAAGGAGGGTGGGAGAGAGCAGCCAAAGGGCAATTTTAGGCAAGTTTAACATCTGATGTCAGAGTAACATATCCATGTGAGCCTATGGGAATCGTTCATTTGTTGTCTTGTTTTCCTTTTTCTGGTAGTGTGTCAGGTGATCGCTATGTATGACTATGCAGCGAATAATGAAGATGAGCTAAACTTCTCCAAGGGACAACTTATCAATGTTTTGAACAAAGATGATCCTGACTGGTGGCAGGGAGAAATCAATGGGGTGACTGGTCTCTTCCCTTCAAACTATGTTAAGATGACAACAGACTCCGACCCAAGTCAACAGTGTGAGTAAATCAAACTATTTGCCTCTCAACTAATGCAAAAGCTCTCACCTGCAACACTGCACTTATTGCTGTCCCGGGTCACACGTTAAAATCGGCACTCTTAGCAAATGTACATGAATGTTTAAAGTAAGAAAAATGCCATAGGAAACTCTTCACTATTCTGAAGTTATATGGCTTTATTTTAAATATTTGTTTCCTAGCTTTGCTATTGACTTCATCTGAAAAACGTATCTTTCTTTTATGGGTTCTTCGGTATGACTGCAGTCTATACTGCAATTTCCCTTTACCACCATCCTTGCAGCGGGCAATAGTCTTTTTCAGCTTAATAAAGAGTAGATAGTGAGTATCCTACTTACCTATTAAAAATTACCCTTTTAGTGTATGTGCTATTAATTTTTCCACCTTCGCATATATTTCCCACATATTTACTGTACACATCATCCAGTTAAGAATAAAATTTGAAAACTATTTAAAGTGACTGATTTCAAAACTCTCCTTAGATGATTATTTACATGGATACCTCATGCCACGAGAGGTACATGAATCAAGATCTATTTCACTGTTTGTAGAATAAACGTCCAGATCTCTAAGTGTGATATTTGATATTACATCAAATTATCCCTTGGTAGTTATCTAGCTTTTCTTATATTTGAGAGTAAATATGAATTAACAGTAAATTAGAGAACAAACAGTACTTGGACATACTTTTACCTTTATAAAATGGACGTCACTGTCCTCCCATCGTTTGGATTTCTTTTTTTTTTTTTTTTTAATTGATTTTTCACAGAGAGGAAGAGAGAGGAACAGAGAGCCAGAAACATCGATGAGAGAGAATCATCGATCAGCTGTCCCCTGCACACACCCCCGCTGGGGAAGCACCCGCAACCAAGGTACAATACATGCCCTTGACCAGAATCGAACCCGGGACCTTTCAGTCCACAGGCCGACGCTCTATCCACTGAGCCAAACTGGTTTTGGCTCTTTTTTTTTTTACAAAATGTTCATGATTTGTATTTTTATCATTATTGATAAATTAATAAATTTAACCTTTCATTGTAATTTAGTTTTTGAGAGGAAATAAATGGTAACCCAGTCAAAGCTGAGATGCTTACAATTCAGTGCAAGTATTGCGAATTTCTTTTATACTATAATTTTGAAATATTCGTGCATTGTTTTTACTTTGGAGCTTGTAAAGATAGTCCTCGCCCGGAAGAAGACTTTCCTAGGTGATACAATTAAATTTCCCAATTCGGAGGTGGGAGGAGTCCAGTTGTTCATGGTTTGAACATCCCCAAATATATCGCAGGGTTTCAGGAGAAACTTGGATTACCAAATGAATGAGCATTTTAAGCGCTGCAGATGGTTTGGCAGTTTTGGGTGCTTGGCAGCTGATGTGATCAATCAGGAATGTCTGAGGCACCTTTCCGGAATCAGAGAGAAAAAAGAAACTTTCAGACCCGCTGGGTAATGATCCATTATGTGGGTAGTGATCCCGGGGCCATTCCGTATGTTCGTACATTTGGCTTTTATAGTGTCTATGATATAAAGTGATGGTTGTCCAAAGGGTTCATTGTTGTCGATCTTTTTTTTTCTGTGGTGGGATACTTTTTCCAATTAAGCCTCTGTAAGGAATACAAAGAATAAATAAAAGCTGTTCCAAAGGAGTATAGCCAGGCGTGTAGGAGTCAGTAAAAACTGATTAAATTTTAGATTACCACTTGCATTTCTTGGGCCCTTAGAAGTATTATTTTCATTTTCTTATGTAATTAGGATATAGTCAGTGTGCCCCATAACGGCATTTTGGTCAAAGAAAGACCTGTATGTGACGGCGTTACAACATGTAGCCTAGTAGGTAGCAGGCTATACCGTCTGTGTGTAAGTGCGCTTGTGGTGTTTGCACTGTGATGAAGTCACCTGATGTTGCATTTCTGAGGAAGGATCCCCATCGTTAAGCAGCGCATGACTGTATTTTTTAAAGGTTGAGAGTAGTAATAATTCAAATTTATTACTAGTTGATGTTGCATGTTATTAGTCAAATTTTTTCTCACCCCTTAATTTGCTTTATGTTCATTTTATTCCTCATTTTTCTTTTTATAGGACCCAATGTTGTCTTCCAGTGTGAAAGCACCCCAGAGACCCACTATCCAAGTTTGACTCTAGCGTGGAGGCAGGGCAGGCAGCCCTGATCAAATATCTCCTACACAATCCGTTAACTTCGGTTCGAATGTTAGAGCCACTTGTGATTATTTCTTTGTGTTTCTAACTTACAGTTAACATTTATTTGTAACAAGTTAAAGGATAGTGGGTCTTTGTGTGGCTTTCCCTGCTGTTCACTCTGGCATCCTTTAGCATTTTCCTTCTTTTTTAATTTGGTAATTATAGGTTATTAGCATGCACATTGAGTTTTCCCCTACACGGTGGGAATTCAAACACACAAAGACCCACTATTTGCACAAACTGTTCTTGCTGGTTTGGAATGAGCTGCCATGCTTTTCTAATGTTATCGCAACTTGTATATTGATTACAGAATTCAGATAAAATTTGCTTATGTTTTGCTCTTATGTTTGATCTAATCCTAATTACAGTGAGCTCTTAATTGGTTCAATGTGTGATTTGTCCCCAGATATGCAGTGTTTAATTTGTTACTTTCAATATGCCACTATTCGATTTGTTAAATTTGTTAAAGGCCAAGAACTGGAAATAACCTTTTGTGTATTTTCTGTGTATTTGGGGGTAGAAGCAATAATATTTTGGGGAGCTTTTCAGAAGGGGTCAGTGGGCAGCCATCAGTATGTGCAGAATGGGATGTTTCATCTGTTGAGCTGCCCAGGAATGAGCACAGACTGTGGTAGTGACCTTGAATCTTTGTGCTCTGGACGTGAAGATACTGCATCATGTCCTGCAGCAGTTAACTAACTTCCTCTTTAATGACCTAGAAGTGTATTAATTTGGGGAAATGAAAGGCTCCCATCACAGACCCCGAGATAGGAAACTTTCCCTAGCTTAGACCGAGTATATCTATGATACATTTTAAAGTAAAAATTCATGTTACCTATTTTAATTAGGTGGCCACATGTCCCAGGTCATAAAAAGACACTGGTTGACGTTCTTCTTAATATACTTAGTAAAGGTCATAAGGAATCTTTGAAGAGTTTAAATGCCCCTGAAGCAGGCAAACAGGCGGCTCTGTCTGCCTCGTCAAGAATGAATTCGGGTGAAGGAGAGGCATGTGTGCTGGCATTCCTCCATGTCCACAGAGTGCTTTGAGGCTAGAAGATTGACTTTACCAGCCAGATTCTCTGGCTAATCTCTATTCAACCACACTGGCTACTTTGGCACAGGATTTTACTTTTTCTTGAATGGAAATACTTTAAAGATGCTAAACATTATTAAAAACTAATAAGTGTGAGAGTTCTTAGCTAAAACAAACAGGCATTTTAGTGGCCAGTATTAAACTCTTTGAAAATCAATGAGAAGCTTATGCAATGTATAATGTTTACAAACTGCAGTGCAATCTACTGTTTATGAATGTCCAAGTATTATCAGGAAATGTGTACATACAGTCACACTTTTATTTCCTCACAGAGTTCTTTAGGAGTGAAATATGTTTTTATATCTTTGAGTTTAAGTTAAAAACATATTTTGTGCAATATTTATGTTGATGTGCCTATACATTATGAATGAATGACTTCAGTTATGCATTGCCTAAATCATAACTTTACAACACTTGAGAAAGAATCAACAGTTTAGTTAGAACTTCACAAAGTTCAAATGTCTGTGTTCCAAAATATTTCATGTTATTGGGATGTGTGGTGATATGTATGTGTGCTCCCTGGGGTAGGGATTTGTAATTATGAGACCAGCTCAATTTTTAATATTTGGCATCATCATGATACTTTTAAAAAATAGGACATTAATAGAAAGCAATAATACCACTTTACAGGTGGAATAATAGATTCACCTGCAGTCAATAAAAGGAATAGTACAAAGGTTGTGTCCTTGTGAATTCAACCAATCCTCCAAATTGTACAGATTACTTGATCTTGCTTTTTAATGTTATGAACTTTCTGCTTTTGCATCCTTTAGTTCAGATTAAGGACAGTTACTTTAAGTCCATTATAAACCCTGAGATTAGAAATCAGACCACTGATAATTAGCCACGTGATTTAGCATAACATTTCGGTATAATTATTTTTTGCATATGGACTTACCTAATATATTAATGAATTATTTCAAAGGTATTTTATAGTGCAGATCATTCACTTTTACACTGATGAAGTTTATTAAGAATGACATTCAGGTAGAGCTTAGCATCTGTAGTCAATTTGAAAAAAATGTATTCAAAGGTACCTATGGACTACATCGCATAATGACATATTTAAGCTAAATATCAGTCTGGGAAATGTATTTACTGTATTTAACTGAAATACCTCTCCTTGTGTAGGTATTTTGTCATATATTTGAGAGAAAGCTAAAAATAAAGGAAATAGATGACGTATAATAACCTGACCTTCTTAAAAGTGCATGCAATCCTTTGCGATCGATACCTCATATTCTGCCACGTTTGCTCTCTTCCTCATTCGGTATGAGGCAGCTTTCAATTTACTTAGAAAGCAATGTTAGGAGGAAAGAATTTTAAAGTGGGAAAACCACTGAATAAATCTGAATTCTGTAGGAAGTAACGTTTATTTGAACATTGTAGTATGTGATAATCATTTTTAAGTATGTAATCAAATCTAATGGGTTTTCCAGCAGTAAAAAAAAAAAAAAAAATCAGATCTAAAACCAAACCTGATTTTTTAGAAAATTTAAATCAGACTTACCCATTGTAGAGTTTCCTCAAAAACTTTATCTTAAAGTGTCATTTTAAAATAATAGAACTATTAAAACAATGTAACTGCTATTTTAGTGTTCTAAAATACAGTGTGAATACAGATAGCTTTAAGTAAAGAAAGTGAAGGAAGGAAAAGTAGAGAAAGAAATGCCAATTCCAGTCAAAGCTTTATTTGCCAAATTTTTTCTTAGAATGAATTTTACAAGTTATAAATTCTTGTAAATAGAATCTATAATGGAAATTCTGAGAGACTTTTGCCTAGAGTGGCATTGTTGGATGCTGCTGTGATGCTACTGTAATGTAATAAATTATTAAATTGTTGCAAAGTGCTGTTTTTTGCCTTAAATTTTTATTTTGTGTGTCTTAAAAACTATGCTATCAAAGGTATTAAGACTGTGCAAATGCTGGGCACGCTTGGCATGAGGTAATCTTTTTATTTTTACAAAGTTGTAATATAACTATGCAAATGTGTTTATTAAAAGGACACAAACTACATTACTTGTATTGTGTATTTCTTTGGAAGCATCATTTAAAACATTTTTTGTTATTTATAAGTAGTCATGGTTGAATTTCTTTGGATTTTTTCTTTTTCCTTAATGTAATCTCTGGATACAGGCCAATGAATTGCTTTATATTACAGGGGGCAAAGAAATTTTTAAGTGGTCAAGATTGAAGTAGTTTAATTTATTTCAAAAGCAAAAGAAATTTTGATTTGAAAGTAAAGGAAAATGTGTAGGGTAATACTCTACTCTGCAACTTTTTTCTAAAAATATTATAATGAATTTATAAGTTGATAGTCATTGCAAATGTAGTTAAGACATTTTAGTACAAAGGAAATATATATATTAAGAAACTGCAGTGAATGCTTAACCAGTATTACACTTAAGTGATCAAGTTGCTGATTTCACTTCTACAGAGAAAAAAAAGAAGAGAAACAGATGGAAATTCAAACCATCCATCAATGTTTGGCATAAATAACCTCTTTCCATAAAAACTTTTCTGCATCTCTGGAAAGTTATCAACTGAGTCTATTGAGTGTTTGCATAAGGCCAAAATGTTACAATATACCCAGAATATGGAAATGAGTGTGGATGGTCCTAGCTTCAGGGAGTACCTAGCTCTGTGAGAGGATCTGGCACGCAAGCAGGTACTTACCAGATACCAAGAGAGTACAGAGCAGGAATGCCTGATTCAAGCGTAGATTGGTGAATCAGAGAAGACTTCCTGGAGGAGGCAACTGCCGGATCCCTAAGTAGGAGTACGCCCGATTGGAGGTTGGAAAGGTGGAGAGTGTGATAAAGACACAGCATGTGTGCAGGAGCGGGGAGGTGTGGTTATAAGCAATTCACTAATGCCAGAGGGGAAGTGCAAAGCCAGGAACAGGGAAGCTCCTGAGGCTGAATCAGAGATTCTTGGCTCATTGTAATCACCTGGGAAGCTTAATAAAGATATTGATGCCTGACTTCAATGGCCTAAAGAGGGCCCTCAGCATCAGGATCTTTTTTAGAACTCATCAGGTGATTTTTTTAAAAAACATTCTTATTGATTTCAGAGAGGGAGAGAGAGATGGAAACATCAGTGGTGAGAAAGAATCATTGATTGGCTGCCTCCTGCACACCCTCCACTGGGGATGGAGCTGGGCATGTGCCCTGACTGGGAATCAAACTGTGACCTGGTTCATAGGTCAACCACTGAGCCATGCCAACTGGGCTCACCAGATGATTCTGATAAGAAGCCAAGGTGGAGAAAAAGTGATGAAACAGTTAAGAATTGTTTTGAGGGGAAATTGGCAGGAGTTGGGATGTTTGGGCAAGTGGAAGAATCAGTATCTTAGTGACAGAGTGAATAATGGTGCCACCAACTGCAGTAAAGAATCAGAGTTGGGGAAGAAGATGAGTTTGGTTTTGACCACCAAGTTCCTGTGGGACATCCAGGTAGGGTTGTCCAGCAGGCAGTCAGATATAATTAAGACATACACCATCAGATGTACATCAGCTAGGGGGATGAATAGGATGGTGATTGAGCCAGTAAAAGTAAATGATATAACTTGGGGAGAAAATCAGACCCCTGGAAGGTATTAGCAGTTAAGTGTTAGACTAGGGGTGTCGAACTCAATCAGAGAAGGGGACAAAATCTAAAATCCAGCCTAAATCGCGGGCCGAATGGTTTACTGAACAGTCATAAACTGTCATTGTGATGGAAACGCAGCGGAGTGCAGTGATGACAGCGTGGTGCGGGCCACATTGCAAGGCCTGGCGGGACGGATTTGGCCCGCGGGCCTTGTGTTTGACACATGTGTGTTAGACAGTGAAAGAAACCCATGGATACAGGAAGCAGGTTCCAGGAGAACAAAGATTATTGTGTTAATATTGCCACCATCTATATATATAAAAAGCTAATATGCAAAGTGTCCCCTCGGGAGTTTGACCAGGAGACCGGGAGTTCGATTGCTCACTATGATGTGCACTGACCACCAGGGGGTGGCGTGGAACAAGGGGAGGCCCAGGCAGCAGCCAGAAGGCCTTGATCAGCCCTGATGGCCAGCCAGTACTAGGGATCTTACCTGTCCACAAATTTTGTGCACTGAGCCTCTAGTTTTTTATAAAATGAAGTCTGGCTGCACAGCCATCACTTATAACAGAAAAAGAAGGAACGTGCTTTTTATTGAGTACTTATTAGTCTAGGTACTTGTCTAAAGTCCTCAAGTGTATTACTTCATTATTATTTTATTTTTACAGAGATGGAAATTAAAACCGATTCAATTACTTGTCTACGGTTAGATAGCTAGTAAGTGATGGAGCTGGCTCCAGTGGTCTGGCTCCAAAGTCCATGCTCTTAACCTCTACACTAATCTCAAGTGTGCCAATATTGCCATCATTTCTATAAGAATGATGTTCCTGTAGTACAATCATCACTTGAACCAATGAGAAGGAAAGAGGGAAAGTCTGACTGCATCACAGAGTTTTCTCTGTAAAATCTACACTGAATGGCCACATTATTATGATCTCTGAATGCATAATAATCTGGCCACTCAGTGTGTGTGTGTGTGTGTGTGTGTGTGTGTGTGTGTGTGTGTGTATATATATATATATATATATATATATATATATATATATATATATATATTAGAGGCCCGGTGCATGAATTTGGTGGGGTCCAGCCAGCCTGACCAGGGGGAGGAGACCTGGGCGGTTGGCCGGCCTGCCTGCTGGTCGAACTCCTGGTCGAGGGGACAGTTTACTTATTAGCCTTTTATAATATAGGATATACACTGAGTGGCCAGATTATTATGCGTTCAGAGATCATAATAATCCAGCCACTCAGAGTATACACAGAGAAGAGACAAGGAGGCAACAACTGCATATAATAAACAAGGACAGGAGTCTATAGGAATAATACCCAGAAAGATAAAGCTGAACAAAATCACTTTTTTCAATAACAGCTTTATTGAGATGTAATTTATATAACCATACAATCTCACCCAGGTTATAATTCAGTGGTTTTTAGTATATTCACAGAGTTAAATAATCCAAATTATTTAAGTTCTTGCTTGCACTGGGACCTAGAATGGTTGCAACTATTACCACACTTAGATAACATTTTCATCACCTCAAAAAGAAGCATTATATCCTTTAGCTTTCACCCTCCTGTCTTCCTGTGCACCCCACTCAAGCCAATGGCAACCACTAATAACCTGATTACTGTCTCCATATGTTTGCCTATTCTGGACGTAGCATAAAAATGGAATCATAAAATGTGGACGTTATTTGTATTTGGCTTATTTCACTTAGCATGTTTTCTAGCTATAGCCATGCTGCAGCATGGATCAGTACTTCCTCCTTCCTATGGCCAAGTAATATTCCATCGTATGGATATACTATATTTTGTTTCTTCATTCATTCGTTGATGTATGTTTAGGTTATTTCTACTTTTTTGTTATTACAAATAGTGCTGCCATGAACATTTGTGTACATGTTTTTGTGTCGATCTATATTCCATTACACTTGCGTATGTACCTAGGAGTGGAATTGCTGGGTCAAATGGTAATTCTAAATTTAACTTTTCTAGGAACTGCTAAGGCTGTTTTCCAAAGTGACTGTACCGTTTTACATTCCTACCAGCAGTGTTGTAAGAGTTTCTGTTTCTCCACATCCTTGCCACCACTGTTATTATCTGACTTTGTTAAAGCCATCCTTTTGGGTGTGAAGTGATATCTCATTGTGGTTTTGATAACTAATGATGTTGAACATCCTTTCATGTGCTTTTTGGTCATTTGTGTATCTTCTTTGGAGAAATGTGTATTCAGGTCCTTTGCCCATTTTTTTTTTAAATTTTTTCTTTATTGATTAAGGTATTACATATGTGTCCTTATCCCCACCAAGCTTCAGATTCTCCATGTATGCATGCAGTAGGGATCAGAGTTAGATCAGGTATTCAGAGGATTGGTCAAAGGTTGTGGGTTATCCTACCCAGGTTGGTAACAATTATGTTTATTGTTAGAACTGAAAGTTCTGTGTTGAGTGAGCATGAAGAAACTGCTGTTTCATGACATCCTATATAATAAAAGGCTAATATGCAAATCAACCAAATGGTGGAACAACTGGTTGCTATGATGTGCACTGACCACCAAGGGGCGGAAGTTCAACACAGGAGCTGCCCCCTGGTGGTCAGGGCACTCCCACAGGAGGAGTTCGCTCAGCCAGAAGCCAGAGGGAGCAGGCCTAAGCCAGCAGGTGGACATCCCCCAAGGCGTCCCAGACTGCAAGAGGGCACAGGCCGGGCTAAGGACCATCCCCCCTTCCAGTTCACGAATGTTGTGAACCTGGGCCTCTAGTCTCTTCATAATACTCCATATTCTGAACAGCACAGTCATTCCCCTGGTTGAGCTGGTGATCTTACACTGGCCGACTAGAAGGGATACAGATATCAGCTTCAGCCGATTGCTTTCTGACGCCAAGTCTTCTTTGTCTACCACTGGGAGGTCTTTGCTGTCTCTCAGGCTAATGATGTTTCACTATAGATTTAAAAATAAAAACACATTTCTTTATCCACTTGCATTTATCAACAGTTGATTTGGGAAGTTCTAGAATTTTTTTTAATTGTGAAGCCCAAATTTATTTCTATTTTAAGGTGCTCAAGAGACTTTTAAAAGGCCCAAAAGCATCCCGGTTTAATTTAAGATCATTCTGAGATGGTGTCCGTCCGTTTCTCCTTTAGTGAGGCATCAATTTGATCCTTGTTAATGAAACACCTCGATAATTCTAGTTGGACCTTGGCACTTTATTATGATTCCAAGTTATCTGTCATAAATGGCCATCAGGTTATGAACGATGAGAAACGTAATAGCATAAATCAGTGGTCGGCAAACTGCAATTCACTAGCCAGATGCAGCTCTTTGGCCCCTTGAATGTGGCTCTTCCACCAAATACCACGTGCTGACGCGCACGTACGGTGTGATTGAAACTTTGTGGCCCATGCGCGTTGTACTTTGATAT